AATACAAAACGTACAGCCCAAAACCCACACTTAACTTTAGGTACTACAAACCATGGCAAAAACATGGTTAAGGACGACCCTGTTTAAGGATACGGTCTACGGTTATATAAACACAACGACTTTTGAGACCTGGTGTAGAGGGTGAGGCTATTCCGCCCTCCTTGGGGAAGGGCACATCCTTTAAGGCATATTCAGGCAACTTAAGATCATCTGGGTTATCCCCCTTGATGAGAGCTTGGTGGCGTGAAAAACCTACCGGAAAAACAGGATCACCTTCAGGGACAAAGATTTCTGCTTCTGGAACATCAACGGCTGAATTCCCACCTCCAGTGCGATACTCTTGGTAGTCTAGCACCCTAACGACATTCCTATATCTAAAACCGGGATCAATCCTCCAACCCAAAAAGAGACCAGGTGACATGTTTGGTTCCAAAGTCCTTTTGGTGGGTGACTTCCTACGGTAATACACTAACTGACCAAAACATAACCTCATGCCACCAAACTTATTCCTAGTAAGCGATTCCCAATGGGTTTTGTCGGGATCAGCTATTGAAGGCTTGTCAAATGACATTGAGAGGCAAGCATATGGATAGCTGTAAGTGTGGTACTCGTAGGGAAGACCAGATTGGAGGTGGATAGTGCGGCAACATTCTTTCTCCTCTCGAACGTCTCTTTCGAGAATGGCATTATGGGGCCATCTGTTCGGCAATGAGGTTTCCGGAACCATGCCTACGGCGCATGTGCCGCCTGCTCGAGCTCGCCGGCTTCCTCAATTTGGATGAAGGTCAGAGTTGTGAGCTCTCATCCACGCAGTCCTAAGAAATGCATCAGGGTTCAGATAAGGGGGGAGGAGTTGTGCAGATGGTTTTGGTAGATACAAAGCGGAATGCATAGGGTGCACAACTACAAAATGCAGTGCATGTTACTTTTTTTGCGGCTACAAAATGAAGAACATAACTCTTTCTGGCTCGGAAAATAATTCAAAACCAGTACTACAAAATCCAATGCATTTGAAGTTAAAAAATAGCTGAACGTCGGAATTGCTAACATGATTTTTCCCAATGACATTTTGTAGGTGGGTCTTTGCCATCCAAAGTTCCGACCAACATAAATTCGGAGAACGTTTTGTAGTTGTCAATGATTGAATTTAGTTGGATCAAGTGTTGACCCCGTGCAGTTTGTTAGATGGCATTCTGTAACGCTTCATGATCTGTTTGTGTCCATGTACATGTCACGCACTGTTCAACTATTCAACCTGTACAGCTACAAAATGCAAATGAGATTTTATGTTGGATGCTTCAACTATTCAACTTGTACAACTACAAAATGCTAATGAGATTTTATGTTGGATGCTTCAACTAACTCAACATATACAACTACAAAATGAAAATGATGATTTGAAAGGAATCAACTACAAAATGATTCCAAATACAAAATGGGGGGCACAACCCCTCCTGTTTGTACCAAAAAAACCTGGCTGGCAATCTGTACTGTAGCCCAAGTCCTCCCCATTTCGTAGCTGAAATTTGAAGGTGGATAAGAAATGCCTAAAGTTGCGAGCATGCGCGTCAGCGGTACGTTTAGACAGTGGGTACGCTACACGCGCTCCAGAGTACGCGTCGCGGATGACATGGCGACACCGGGTGGTGGCGGTGGCAGATTACGGATTCTATCTGCAAGGGTTTCAGCAGCTTTAGGTTCAGGAGCTTTGGGCCTAGCTTTAGCGGGTGGCCTAGCGGGGCTACTAGCAACTGGAACTGCTGTGTCGCGCCCGAAGGCTGCGACCCCTTGAGAACCTGACTTAGGTGGTTGTGGGACCTTTCGGACCGATACAGTGACCTTTGGTCAGGTCGAGGCGGGCTGAGCTGGATGGTCAAGACCCCTTAAAGACGGCTGCCAAGTATAGGTGGCAGATGACCTGGCTGTTTAGGCTCCTTTGGAACAGGGGGTTCCGCTGGAGCTGCAACAGATGATCTGATGCTCCTGTGCCCGCCGCGCCACCAGCGGGTGCTGGGGCTGCGGCCTTGCTTTTCGGTCGAGGTTGCTGTTGTGGGCCTACGTACCGGTAATACGTGTCCCACTCTTCAACCCTGGGATGCTCTGCACCAAGAACCCTCTGGTTTATTTTTCTTTTGGGAGGCAAATCACCTGAGTCGATAACTTGACGACCGTGAGCAACTACTCGACGCCTATCTAGCCCGTGTTGATGGGCCCAGTCTTGGTAAGAAGCCAAAACGTTATAAGCGATGGCCAAACAGTTTGAGGTGGTAAATTCTTCTACAAGTCTTGAATGCAAAGCAATTACCCACTGTTGCTCCTCACTAGCTTGTTCGTAGGGGATCCGGCGCAACCAGAAAGCCCCGCTGATGCTTCCCCCTGAATTGTGATAAAGCCAGTTTTGATATGCTTCGAAATCAACCCACCAACCTCTTCGAGCTTCTTGCCAACGTGTGGTGGCACCTCCCCTACTGGATCTTACCCTAGTCCTTGGAGCTTTAGAAGGGGCAGATGGGGAATGACCTACTTGGATAGGTTCGGTACCTGGGTCAACAAGATTAGGGCTAGTTGGCAGTGGGACTAATTCGGAGTTATCAGTGGTTGTGGCTTCTGTCGCGACACCGGAAGTGTCAGCGACCGCAGGCTCGGATGCAACGGCTGCTTTGGATTTGTCGGCAGTGAGGCCTTCGGCCTCTGCCTCGGGAACCTCAGCTAGAGTTGTGTCCTCACCTGCAAGTTCAGTTGTGTCAACTTCGCAATCGGCCTGCTCAGATGGAGATACCGGAGGTTGTTGTTCTGGATCTTCTTGTCCTCCTTTGCACGATTAAGGTCCGTGAAAGCAGCTTCGGCCGGATTTTCCGGCTGAGTCTGTTCTTCCAAAAATGGTTGATCAAGAGGCTGTTCAGGTTCCAGCTCAAGTTCCTCCGTCGCGACGTGCTCGTCAACGACCTCCTCTGGCAAACCAATTGTAGATAAAACTGCACCCAAAGACTGAGCTTCCTGAAGTTCCTGCTCCTCCTCCTTCACGGAAATGAGTTCAGCAGTTTCCACGTCGCCAGAAGCCGCAGTCGGGTCCAATACCTCAGAAAGATCGGCCCAGCTCCGAGATCCTTCCGCTACCGGGTCAACAGTCGACGGAGCAGACTGCTCAACGTTCCCTGCTTCACCAGCCGCTTCGAATTCCTCCGCTGGAGTTTCCTGAGTCGCGCTGATATCAGCAGCGACCTCTTCACATCCGTCTGAGGGCATGCAAGAGTGACAGCGAAAAGTGCGAGAAAGAAAGTTAGGGCCTAAAGCAAGCTTTTACGGATTAGGTTCCCCAACAAAAAGAAACAAGCCTTACGGCTGATAACCAGTCAAGCTGGGGGACGAACCGAGAACCCAGAAAAGTAGGGAACCACAATCCGGCAAACCTTGCATACGAAAACAACACCAAGCGCACAGCTTTTGTGCACTTGAGCCAAGGGGTCGGCAGCGTACCTAGTCATCCCCTGACCCTGGTTGTTGTTAGGGTTAGGGGAAAGTACCTACCTCTACCATATCTATAGAACAAGACATGGGGTGCAATATCTGTACATATATTCGGATGTACTACTTCGGAAGTATTGGGTGGAAGTATTGGGAATCAGAGCTACAGCATGTCTCCACTAGACCTACTACCTATGCTACACATAGTGGGGCTAAGGGGTCTATATATTTCAACTTATATGTATGTTACATAGCCAGGGACTCCACGAAGATTTATAAAGATGACTAGCGCGAGGAAACCTACGATGCTCCAGGTTGCTGGTGCCCCCCATAGTTTGCGAAGTGGCTTTATAACAAATTATAACTGGTAATTACATACAGTTATAAATAAATAAATAAATATATATATATGTACATATATATAATTATGTATACTATATACATATATATATATATATTTATTCATAATTATGTATGAATATATATATATCTTTAGTTAACGGGGTTTATAACCATCTTTCAAGTAGGCGCACCAACTTTGCGACTTGAAAAAAACGTCCTGTGTCGTCACAGCGAAAAGATGTCGTCATTGTATAGCACGGAGAGATCCACAGCAAACAGCCCAGAAGGCTTTTGACCATCGCCACCATGGCAGATATGGCAGTTGTCTTCACACATCGTCACTTGTCTCCATGGATATTCGGTGGGTGTCCGCTTCAAAAGGGACTCGAGCCAAAAACCATGGGTTTGCGGTAGGGGTACTCAAACATGGCAGCGAACATGAGATATCCCAAGTTCATCTCAGTTGGTCCCGGAGAATGAGACAATAATCAACCAGTTCCTAAGTTGGATACACATCATTTCCAGATGACCTTCCTATATCTTCAATCATGTTCACATGAAATGATGAGGTATTCCCAAAGCCAGCCAGGCGAGTTTCCTACTGCGATCTTTCAGAGCTGGCGAGAAACTACGTGAGTTTCTCAGAAAAGATTGGGATACGATCCGGGAATATTTGGTAGTTATTCAATGGGGATATAATGTTTGGTTCATATCCATGAATAGTGCTTAATGATGATTAATGATGAAATCAATATCTGTTGGCCGCTGAAAAAATCCACCATGGCAATCGGAAACCCACCATTGAGTTCGATGAATTTCCCAGCGAACTAAACCATCTGGGTAAATTATGATAATTCACTGACCTGAATTAAGGCCATTTGGGGATGATTTCCCTTATTGACCATGATTCCAGTGAGGGAGAACAGTGAGGTCGTGATGAAATTTACCCAGAACCATCTACTTCGGAGACTTCCCAGCTAGAAACATGTTTCATGACACTGGATCGCTGGCCATTTCAGGAACTGATTTATTAAAGGTACCTACCATATATAAGGCCTATTTTTCAGGCCTTAATTTCAGGGAATATCCCCAGGAAATATGGCCTTATATGGTACAGTACCTCCAATTTAGGATCCTGGAATTCCCATTGAAAAAAGGGCGGCAACCAGGTCAAACCACCACGACGTTTACGCCTTCCAGGAGTGCTGGTGGCTCCTGTGCAGATTTGATCCAAAAGTTGGAAAGAATACAGAATACCCTCTGGAAATTTAACATCGATACGGAACATGACCGTTTCAATAGGTAAATAATCTATAGGCATTTTCGCTAGGTGAAAAAAACGGGATGGTGAAGACTTGCGAGATGTTCATCATCCAACATCATCAATTTTGGGGTAGTTTTGTCTCCCCAAACGTTCGGGGAAGGTATGGAAGTACTAGCAGCGTTGCAACCATCATCGCCGTCGTTTGTAGCTAGCACCATGATGAGGAAGAGTACTGGCAGGATGTTGATGATAATGAGGATGAGGATTAGGATAACGCGTATGAATTCCAGACCATGTAACTCTAACCGCTGCCCCAAATTTACAGCTTTGCGACATCTCGATCAGTTTTGCCTACCGCCCATGCCAAAAAAAGGATGCCCGCAAGCGAAAGGACTTAATACAATATCCTAAGAATTGTCACCTGATGATGTTGAATACTACAGAATGATTGTGATTCCAATTAATAACTTACACATTTGAATTACGGTCCATTTGTACCTCTTTTTCGGGGACTATGATTCTGCTTGTGTTCTTTTCGTCCCCAGCTGGAACCAAATCCCACAAAACATCAAACAATTTTAGAGGCCGAACTGATCTGGGTAGGTCCCATGAGCCTTGTATATAGTTTGATCACAACCTCGATGGGAATTGATAGCGGTCAAGCCCCTCCATTCTCAAATTCCGGGTCAGTCCGCACATTTTTCTTGCTTTAGAAGCCACTTTTCAACAGGTTCACCACTCGTAAGTTTCTAAATTCAATCCTATTCTAGCTCAGAGATTGCTTTCCAATGGATTTAAGGGAACATCTTAACCTCGTAACCAGAAACCATGTCTTTTACCTTTCAAATTTTCAAATATGCAGAATTTTCATGAGGGGTTTCTTCAACATCTCCCATCCTCCGGGATTTTGGCAGCCGTCCTTTTCCATTGCCGCCTTGGCTTTTTGATGCTTTATGTGTTTCTCCTGGCTTTCTTGAAGGGTGACAAAGATTTGGCCCGACTGATTCTTTACGGATCGTTTCTCTGAAACATGGCAATGGAAAATCACAACTTTTAAAAGTTACATCAATGCAAATCGTAGATAAATGATGATAAATGGGGAATTTTCCACAGCTATCTTAAATTACCCGAGGGTACATCTTATGGGTTAGTTGCTTCCATTTTTCCCGTAAAGCGATGTGTTCACTGTTCTAAACGAAAGATTGAGTTTCTTTTTAGAAGTATTGTTCTGCAAAAAACCGCAACCAAAACAAAATCTGGGATGGGCCACACCCAACCAGCCAGGGGCCCAAGTTTGATAATTTGACAATCAAAAATAATCCCATCAGATGTAGGGGATGCAATTCAGCTGGGATCATAGAATGGGGGAACATGAATGCGGCATGGAATGAATCATAACCATGAACATTCATTTTTACCATCTCCAGCTTTCACAGTTGGAACCATCGTTCTTTGATGTTTTCATATGTCATGAATTCCACTGTTCGCATCAAAAATTGAGCCTCCAAAGGGCCAAATCCTTGGGTTCCCATCACAAGGGCCAAATCCTGCTCTTTGTAGGCAATAACATGGGAGATATATACTTGCATTGACTAGTCTACAAGTATACCCAAAGAAAATGTGTATATATATAAATATAAATAAATACACATGCACATGTAACATGTACATATTATGTCATATGTATAGCATGCCGATGAAGCTACTGACTAAGAATGGTACACCTCAAATAAAAAACCCTGCGAACTCATTGATCCAAGGTTGAGAGTAGCATTTTTTCATCTGATAGTAACCAAAACAGTAACTAAAAAGTAACTAAGAGGTTTAATCTACATTAATTTACCATTATTTTTCATTTGGATGTCACTTTCCTATCCTTTTTAAGGGCTCTTTTTGAGTTCCAGCTACCGCCGTCCTTGTTGAGCACCTTGCCAGATGCCTGCACCTGCTGAATCCATGACACCAACAGGGAAAACAGGTTGATAAACTTAGTGAATATGATGGGTTGTTGTAAAGAATATATGGTGAATGGTGGTTAATGTAACTTAATGTATGATGATATCCATTCTAATGGTGCTTAATAAATGGTTAATATCTACTAATTCCATCTAATATCTGGTGGGTGGTTGAGCCCTACCCCTCTGAAAAATATGACTTTGTCAGTTGGGATGATGATTATTCCCAATATATGGAAAAATAAAACATTGTTCCAAACCACCAATCAGTTATGGGTTATTGCAAATGATAATTGTGATATGGGTTATTCTGTCTTATTATGATTATAGATAAACTTAATTGTAAGCCATAGACCCATTGTGAATAGGAATTCCAATAAAATGGGTTCCCCCAAAAAGGGACACAGCGAAGATTCACCGCGAAGATTAAACAAAACAACTGCCTCGCTCTCCTAAAGATGGCAACATCATGTACTTGGTGGCTCATCCCACTTAGTAAGTGGGTTATAACCCCAGTTATAAGTGGATTAACCCTACTTATCCCATTTATAACTGGGGTTATAACCCACTTACTAAGTGGGATGAGCCACCAAGTACAACACCTACTGTACCAGGTGTTTGAAGTGCCATGGGAAGCCATGTCTGAAAAGGACAGCAACAGCTAGTGGATATTGATCAGCTCACCATCCATCATTTCTTTGGGACAATATTGTAAATGATCATCTGGTTGGTGGTTGAGCCCTACCCCTCTGAAAAATATGAAAGTCAGTTGGGGTTACTATTCCCTATATATGGAAAATCATAAAATTCATGTTCCAAAGCACCAACCAGTTCTATACTACTATTATCCCATTCATAAAAGTGGGATTATCCCAATCAATCATCAGACATCAATGATATCAACCAGATCATATTTCACACCTGAATTTTCCCAAAGATACGGATGATTCCTCACTGACTTCACCATTCGATATGACCCACGGCCTCCACTTCCGTTTTTCCCGGAAAACTGGGGGGCCTGGGCCGCCGGAGTGACACGTTGGTGAGTGGCATATCCCATTCTTCTAGCCTCATTCTATCCTATTTTTCCTGGTTCAATTCCCATCTTTGCTACCACCAACCCTGTCATCCCATGATTGTCATATATTCATTGGTTGTTGGCTACTGTAGTTGTATCCCATTATTCTCATCTTGTTTTCCACATAACAGCCAGTAAATATTAACGGGATGGGAAATACCCTCCAGGTAACAAGATAGATGTGGAAAATACACCATTTACAGATCCTTTTCTTCATGAACCATGGGTTTTCCACATCTGTGTAAACGTTTACCCAAGGTCATTTAGCACCATAATTGTCCCATTCCCCCCACAGGCAGCCCGACTTGGCCGTGCTGTTGTGCAGATGCTCCTGGAATGTGGATTCTTCCACGGTCCCAAAAATGGAGTCTGGGAACATCACGGGAGAAGGAATGGAACTAAACACGTCTTGGAACATACCATGGAAAATAGCCCAAAGAACGGATAAATCTGGGACGATCTACATTCCGGGATACGTAATGGGACTCAAAACGCGTTGGAAGATAGGTTGTTATACTGGTTGATTAGTTGATTCATGGTTCTTCAAGGGGCAATGGGATCAATTTGAAAATCGGAAGATTCCCTCTAAATTTCATGGATGTTCCCCCGGATGTGTACCGGAGCATCGGGAAAAAATCGGTACAACAATGGGACAATTCTAAGAGATTATCTTTGGAGACTTGAATTCGAACATCTAATCTGGTTGGTGGTTGAGCCCTACCCCTCTGAAAAAGGATGGAGTTCGTCAGTTGGGATGATTCCCAATATATGGAAATATGATGGGAAAGTCATAATCCAGTCATGTTCCAAAGCACCAACCAGAATCAATCATCAGACATCAATGATATCAACCAGATCATATTTCACACCTGAGTTTTCCCAAAGATATGGATGATGTGACTATATAAATCACCATTTTCCCATGGTTTTCCTATGGTTTTCCCATACAATTCAAAGCATGAACATCTAATGATGAGTCCTGCGAAGGGTCAAGTCGCCGAGATCGATTACCAATGGGATCAATCTGGGTAAATTATAATATTTCACTAACCTGAATTAAGGCCATTTGGGGATGATTTCCCTTATTAGCCACGATTCCAGTGAGGTCGCAGTGAGGTCGTTATAATTTACCCAGATCAATGGAATCTAAAGCGTGGCCTGAACAGCAAACCATGTTGGGCTGTTTCTTGTTGTGAAAATTCGGGTCAAAGATGCTCAAACCTAAGTCGCTGTGTAGCTCTGAACAAAACTATTGAGCTACACATGGTGGTAAAAATCTGAATTCTTGAGCCTCAAAATCCAAACATCTTGGCAGTCATTCAATCTTGCCTGGTTGCTGACCCAGTTGCTTCTCCAAGTTTGGTTGTTATATAAGTTGTTATATAAACCATAGCTAATCAAATCCCCCAAATATGAAATAATTACCCTCAAACGCGGCAACATGAATAGATCCAATACACTTGGATTTGCTTTAGGACAACCCCCAGAGAAAAATCCTTATAGATTCCCCAGCGAGTGGATTTCTCACTGGGAAAATAACACGATAATCGGTTAAATTCCTGGACTGCAGGGAAAATCTCCAGGAAACCATGGTTTTTCCGGTTTTTCCCCAACAAAATTCTGGTGGTTTCCTGATTTTCCTGTTTTTTTTTCCTGAAACCAATCCATTGATGAGATCTCCAGCAGATCTCCAAGCCCCGACTGGTCCGGATCGCGTCGCATGACCGTGGAGGCATCGATCGTGGTACCTCATGCGTCACCCATCGGTGATTTCAAGGCATGGCTGGATACCTTCCGGTCGTCAACGTGGTACTTGGTGGCGAACTACCCACGAATCGTAAGTGGGTTAGTTCACCCCAGTGATTGATGTGGATTTACCCTACAAAAATCCCATAACTGGGGTGAACTAACCCACTTACGATTCGTGGGATGAGCCACCAAGTAGTGATACCCTCTGGTAAACTGTCACAAAACTATGGAACATCACCATGCCATCAATGGGTAAATCAACTACTAATCACCATTTTCAATGGGTTGAATCTTACTGGTGCTAAACGTAGGGAATGGATGGGTTGCTGGGGGTTGCTGGGATGATTATTACTAGTGATTATGGATCATTCCCGAAAATTCCTTGCGTTTAGCACCGGTAAGACTACATGGAGGTTTTGATAGTTGGGAACAACCTCGAAGTAAGTAGGGGGATTTCCACGTTTGATGACGGGTACCTCAGTTTCACCCGACGGCATTCCGGGGATCCGCTATGATTCCATTATGATATGCAAATGGATGGCTTCACAGATCACACAGAAAACAAAACAAATGGTCCATCCCCTACAAACCATGATCTTGTCAGTCTTCACCAGGTTTGCTTACTAGAATATCTCCGTTGGCTAGTATCCCCGCGTGTGTGTTTGAATCTCCCTGGTTACGTCATCATGTTTGGTGGTTACATTTAGATATGGTTGATGTACCTGCAGCTAAATGATGACTATCAATGCACAGCCCACAGAAAAGCTAGTGATGGCTCTCTATTCGCTATCATACGACTATACTAATCAAAACGTTGGTACCCTTCTCTTCACAGGCAAATTCAGGGATCTGACCCATCTCCCCATTTCTGCTGCTTATGTTCAGTTTACATTAATTGCTGACAAGTTGACAACCCCCACAGGATGGGGCCCCAGTTCGTTAGCTAAGTTCGTTTCTAATTTATAACTATAATAACAAGTTGGTGTATGGTACAAACCAACAAACAAACAAACGGGGTGTATAATACCAAGTTCTATAATAACTATATAACCCTATCGTTATATTTCGATGGGCTTATAAACCAACGTTCACATTTCACTGGTGGAGCACCATCCTGCAGGTTGAATCCCATTTTCCACACCTTGACAGAGCAGCGGCAGCACTGCCAGTAGGGGTCTCATCCTGACGTTTTCGGCGCTGATCCAACGATTTAGGGATTGATTTTAGCGAGTAATCCCTATGGTAAACCAACAGTTTGCTATAGAAAATGGCCCATTTAGTTCGTTGTTTGACCTGTTAAAGATGGTGATTTTCCAGTTCGCAAACTGTTAACGTTTACCAGAGGCTAATCCCGAGCTGGTCATCAGTAATCCGCCGATTTCAGCAGAATCTCCCAACGGAGTTGCTTGGAGGCGGACTCCCAATTGGTGGACTTCCCATTGGCTAAAATCTATAGTAAATCATCTGCAGCAAATCACAGATGCTTGTTGAGTGAGGTGGTTCTTGGTTAAAATTCTTCATATGTATGACATGTATTAACAGCAACCTGGTTTACCCAAAGGTCATCCTGCTAATGTTTTCATGCAGCAGAAGATCTGAATGTGCCCTTGCTCAAAACCTTATATCAAATCAACTATATATATATTTTTATATAACATCTGGTTATTTAACATAGCCATGGAAAATCACCATTTTTAATAGGTAAACCATCTATACATGGGCAATTTTCCATGGCTATGTTAAATAATCAGAGGGTATATATATATATATAGTCTATTGTTGGTTATAGATCCCACGGTATTCCCATGATCTCCCCATGCCGGCCGATCCTTGCGAGGTATGAATAGGGTGACTTCTCAAACGTCGCGGCTGGTGACGGCAAGCCTGGTCCGGCATTGCTGCAGTTCTCGCATTTTTCATGGGGTACAAGTAGGTTATAATGTTATAACCCTCATTATCAATGGGCTAAGTAGAGTTAGTTCACTTATAAATCTTGTAAATTGGGTTATCACCCACTTAACTGGGATGAACCAGCAAGTAATTTCATGTGGGTAAAACAATGTCATAACCATTCCCCAAATCACCATTATCATGGGTGGTATAAAGCATCGCAAATGGGATGGTTTATGACATTGTTTTGCCCACATTAGTTGATTTCTGGCTACTGGTTGGTGGTATACCTACCCCTCTGAAAAATATGACTTCGTCAGTTGGGATGATGATTATTCCCAATATATGGAAAAATAGAATTCATGTTCCAAATCACCAACCAGAATACATCTTTCCTAAATATCTGATAGCGGAAATGCCTAAACAAAGGGTCTTGAGAATGTTGAAGCTCAATACTTGTGCTGGTGACCAACCAACACAGAGAAACCCTAATGAAACAACGATTTACAACAGAATATACCAACGGGTGCCATTCCACCAATAAGTGGGTTATCAGAGTTGCAGGGGCCCCACATGTCAACTTATGGAGATTACCAAAGTTAAACCAATCTGGTTGGTGGTTTCAACCCCTCTGAAAAATATTAGTCAGTTGGGATGATTATTCCCAATATGTGGGAAAAATGTTCCAAACCACCAATCAGTAAGCCAACACCATTTTCTTTTCCTGGAAAAAACTGGTCGCATGATGCGATCGCCATTTTTTTGGGAGAATGCGCCAATCCTATGTCATTGAATTCAACAGGGATACTTTTGGGGCGCAGTTGAGTTATATATTCGTAGAACTATGGGATTCTAACCTCCATAAGTTGGGATACGGCCCCCAAAAAATGCTGAAATATAACCCACACGAATCCGTGGACCTGCACTCCACATGAAGCCCTGAGACATGGGTAGGATACAATGGCATGCGTTCCGAATCACATCAACAATTCAATGGGGTTCCAATCTCAACAGTTAAAACCTTCCCTGTAGTTCTTTCGGCGTTTTGCACTCATGGACCCATGGTGTCTGAAGCTTCAAGATACGTACTTTGCAAAACAAGGTTTGTAGCAACCAAAGAATCTTGGTTTGTCCCTGTTGATAGCACCAGGGTGGTTGATAGCGTCCGTGACCCTTGCCGAGAACAACCATGAATTATTTCTAGCGATATCTGCCTGCTAAACTTACCGGCAAGTTTCATCTTGATTCCGAGTGAGTAAAATGCTTACCATCTGGTATTGAACATAGCTATGGAAAAACACCGTTCTGGATAGATACTGTAAATGAATGTACATGATCTATATATAAACATAGCCATGGCAAATGACCATTTTTAATAGGTAAACCATCATAAACGATCTATAAATGGGTGATTCTCCATAGCCATGTTAAATTGCCAGAGGGTAATCCATATTAGCACCATGAAAAGGTCACTATCAATGGACATGTCCCAAGACCTCTCCCGGCCCCTGACACCACACCTAGATGCTTTGCCGCACATTGCCATTAGCCAAGCACGGCTGCAGAGGATATCAACCGATCTCAAGGCTCAAGCACGGCATGGGGTCACCTTAACCAACTCTATTCATTAAGACATTGTGTATAGACAGAAATATATCTTATTATATCTTAATATGGACGTTTCCTGAAATGGTGGTACCCCCAGTTCTCATCCATTTTAATTTCGGATTTTCCATGAAATAAACCAACCAGCTATTGGGATAGCACCATCTTAGGAAACCCCCAAAAGGAATTCTCGGACCTTACGGAGCCAACAAGGCAACTACATATTCTATTTATGTATTACCTTTTGGAAATTTAACGTAGCTATTGAGAATAGTCTATTTCGAGATATACAATTTACCTATAAAAAAAGGTTATTGTCCATTTCTTTGTTAAAATTCCAGAGGATTCAACTATTACACACATATATATATTATATATAATGGTTGGTGGTTTTAACCATCTTGAAAAATATGAGTTCGTCAATGGGAAGGATTATCCCATATATTATGGGAATTACTCTACTTCGTGTGATCCCCACCATGACATGTCAGGACGTATATTTGGACATATATTTAGTATATTCTGACATCCTATCTGACATATATTCTGGCATATATTCTGGCATTCTATCTGGCATATATCCTGACATTCCACCTGGCATTCTATCTGGCATTCTATCTGACATATTTTCTGACATTTCATCTGACATATATTCTGGCATTCTACCTGTCATTTATTCTGACATATATTCTGGCATTCTATCTGACATATTTTCTGGCATATATTCTGGCATTCTATCTGGCATTATATCTGACATATATTTTGGCATTCTATCTGACATATATTCTGGCATATATGTTGGCATTCTATCTGGCATTATATCTGACATATATTTTGGCATTCTATCTGACATATATTCTGGCATATATTCTGGCATTCTATCTGGCATTATATCTGACATATATTTTGGCATTCTATCTGACATACATTCTGGCATATATGTTGGCATTCTATCTGGCATTATATCTGCAATTCTATCTGACATTCTATCTGGCAGTCTATCTGGCATTCTTTCTGGCATTCTTTCTGGCATTCTATCTGGCATTATATCTGACATATATTCTGGCATTCTATCTGACATATATTCTGGCATATATTCTGGCATTCTATCTGGCATTATATCTGACATATATTTTGGCATTCTATCTGACATACATTCTGGCAAATATGTTGGCATTCTATCTGGCATTATATCTGCAATTCTATCTGACATTCTATCTGGCAGTCTATCTGGCATTCTTTCTGGCATTCTTTCTGGCATTCTATCTGGTATTCTATCTGGCATCCTATCTGACATTCTATCTGGCATTCTATCTGGCATTCTTTCTGGCATTCTTTCTGGCATTCTATCTGGCATTCTATCTGGCATCCTATCTGACATTCTATCTGGCATTCTATCTGGCAGTCTATCTGACATTCCTACATGAGGTCCGGCAGGGAACACTTGGCATGGATACTCGCGGTTGAGGGAACACTGGGCGCGGACGGTCGTGGTTGAGGTCCGGCAGGGAACACTGGGCGTGTATGGTCGTGGTTGAGGTCCGGCAGGGAACACTGGGCGTGGATGGTCGTGGTTGAGGTCCGGCAGGGAACACTGGGCGTGGATGGTCGTGGTTGAGGTCCGACAGCGAACACTGTGGATCGCGAGTCGCAGTTGAGCAGGAGGACGAGGAGGACAACGAGAGGAGGAGGAGGAGAGGAGGACGAGGCAGGAGGAGGCGGAGGACGAGGAGGAGGAGGAGAAGGAGGAGGAGGAGGAGAAGGAGGAGGAGGCAACTGACATAAAATCTAACAACCCTCACCTGGCAGGTGGGGAAAAAACATGTTTGAAACCACCAACCAGATATTTATATACACAGTGAATGCTCAGAGATGTGCTGATGCCCAAAAGTTTGATCAGACTTTCTGCTACACTGTTCTTTGAATAACATAACGTCACGTTATCTGTTTGAACGCAACATGTCAAGAAGCAGGACGAGATTGATGCCAGGGTTATTCAACATGGGAGATGGGAGTGAAACGACTCAACATCTGAAGGCAGAACTATACATACCCGGCCTGGTTATGACTAACAGTTTGCGACATAGAAAATGGTCCATGTTATAGTGGATTTACCCATTGATAGCATGGTGATTTTCCACAGTTATGTGTAAGTTTGCCCGAGGGTAAACACCTTTACTCTGTCATTGATGTCACTTTCTTTTTTGGGAGTAAAATAGCAAAGGTGTTTACAACGCTACCATCCTCAAAAAATGGTCATCCTGCCGCTAGCTGAAGGGGTTCCTTTTTGACAGGAGTTCCAGAACGCTGGATCTCAACTCCACAGCTGGGAAAAGAGAGAACCATTGCGCAATGCTTGTGATAAAACGTGGGATATATTACAGCAACGACATGGCATCATGATATGGTATCAACATGGTTTTATTAATTTTTCAACCATCTAAACATATCTAAACATATCTAAACCCTATGTTTTTCATATGTGGGGGTGGGTCAAAACCTATTATTATCAATTCTAATGGGATGAACATCCATTTACCAGCTATTTTGGGGTTCACTAGGTGCCAGGGTTTTGACCAATAGCCATGTGGTTGAACAGAAACGACTAACTTCCGTGGAAAAAACTCAGCTTTCGGTTAGATGTCACCATCTCAGCTCGGCAGTTCGCACTCTGGCACGATGCCGGCCCAAGGGTTCTCCTTGGACGGTGATCAAGGGATGATCAAGGAATACCCGGCCTGGTAAACTATATGGTTAATATACTGTTAATAATGGTTAATCACCATTTTCAATGGGTAAATCCTATGTCATATAATGGAAAATCACCATGCTATCAATGGGTAAATCCACTATAACATGGGCCATGTTCAATAGCTATGTTAAATTAAGAGAGGGAATGAGTGTGTGCCAAATGCCTTGGGGAATTACCCTACTAACAGAGCGAACTGGAAAATCACCATGTTTCATAGGCAAATCAACTATAAGTGGCAATCTTTTATAGCTATCTTGGTTTAGCGCAGGGTATTCTCTATTCTGTTTGGGGATTCTTTTTCTGCTGCTTGCAATTTGCGCAACAAATACTCTCATGGCCACACCCATCCCCATTTATATGAACTTGCTATTTAATGTTGGTTCATTGAGTACCACTTACCTTCTGGTAAACATACAAAAATCTATGGAACATCACCATATTCAATGGGTAAATCAAGTATAAATGGCCATTTTCGATCGCTTTTTGTATGTTTACCAGAGGGTACCCATTGATTTCTATCCTATCCCCGGTAACGAATCCAATCCTCACATACTCTGACAGTCAGATAGTCTTGACGATTTATGGATCAGATCAGCCACGTCCAATGGAGAAAGTGGATCCACACGTCTAAACTTTGGAGGGGATTTTCTTGTTCCGCTGTTACCCTCGGGTTAATTTAACATAGCCATGGAAAATGGCCCATTTATAGATGGTATAATGCAATTCTTGAGTGCGGTTTGCTCACAAGGGGGTAGTTTCTTAGGAAAATGGAACACTTTTTTTTTGCCCCCCCCAAAAAAACTCGGGTTCAAATGCAGTAAACATGGTTTTTTGATGTGGATTTTACTTTCTATTCTGCAAAATAACATCAAGTTGGGGGATTGCTACAGTATAATGCGCAGAGTCGGTTGGAATTTGCGACATCACCAAGGAGCTTCCTCTATCTCAGCCACTGGCTCTGCCACCTGAGTACCTGAGTTCAGCAAGGTGAAACAAGGACTGAAAAAGCGACTTTTTTGGGGATTTCAAATGCTCCTGTCAGCTGAAAAATCTCTGGTAGCAGGTCTGCCCTGAGGAAGTAATCAGCCTTTCACGTGCCTCCTTCAAAGCATGGCAAATCCCCCTAATATATGGAGGTTTCTAGCTGGGAAAATCGTCCAACAATGAACATGTTCGATTGCCATGTTTGATCACAGCAGGGCAGTGGAGAATACCACCGAATTTTTCATCATGTTTTTTGATGGCCTTCATGGATTTGAATGAAAGTCATGCCTGGATTCAAGAGACGAAAACGATAAAATTCGCAACAGGAGTACCACTTACCCGGCCTGGTAAACATACAAAAAACGATGGAAAATCACCATGCTATTAATGGGTAAACTCACTATTTCAATGGCCATGTTCAATAGCTTTTTCTATGATCCTTGGGTTGAAAAATCTCTGGCTTCAGGACTGGCGCAACACCGGTTTACGCAATCCCAGAAGAGGATAGAATGGTAATACCCTCTGGTAATGACTAACAGTTTGCGACATAGAAAATGGCCCAGTCGAAATAGTTGATTTTCCCATTAATAGCATGGTGATTTTCCATGGTTTTTTGTATGTTTACCAGAGGGTAATTCATGATACCTCCACCATAAATATCCATAAATAACCCGAGTGATTGGAGATGATTGGAGTTCTAAAGCAACTTAGCTCACTATGAAAAACCACCTTGAATAAGCCTATACCACCGATGATTTGACACCCTTCTTTGCTCATTGTTTTAGTTGAATTTATTGGATGTTTTCCGTGCAAGAAAAGGGCCAATATGGATATCTCTCGAACCAATTCATCGACTTGACACCAGTTAACACTTTTCATCACTTGCTTGGTTACCGCCACCTACTGAACACATCATATGACCATATTCATATGATTGATAATTAGTAGTTTGTATTTGATGATTGATAATTAATCACATATGATTATACAATCACGTATGATTATACAATTATATATAATTATATATATATATATAAATGTATAGTATATGTATATACGTATATATGTATAATATATTATAATATACGTATATTACACAGCCTACTCACATCCCAACTCAGAGCTACATGGTTTGTGCCTCCATGTTCTCGCCAAGGGCTCGGGGCTTCAGCAACCACAGGCTGCCTCGGCCGTCGACCAATCTATGGAATCTAGGATGCTTGTATATTTACACGACTTGATACGACTTGTGGTATGGGTCTATTATCTGGTTGGTGGTTTCAACCCCTCTAAAAAAAATAAGTCAATGGGAAGGATTATCCCATATATTATGGAATCATGGAGAATAAACAATGTTTGAAACCACCAACCAGTTATAATAAGCCCCAAAACAAATAGAACATCTTCAATCATTGTGTTCTATTTATGACTATACTAGCTGGATTTAGCTGGTCTATCTTTTCCGAAAAGACTTTTAAGGTATGGGTCTATAACTGGGTCGTCGAAAAGAAAGGTAGGTCTATCAGTCTATTGCTTTGAGTCCACATCATTCTCGCTGTTCTTTTTGTCAAAGCCTCCATTTCTGCCAGAAAAAACACACACCACTGATTTTTTCTTCGCTGAAATCCCAATGAATTCTTGGTGCATTTCAGTTTTCCATACTTTTCCCACAGGATGGTGCCCCCCAGTGATGTGAAAGTTGGTTTATAAACCCCATTAACTATAGTTATATCTGTCATAAACCATAGTTTGGGACACTATGGGGCACCACCTTGCATGATGTTCGCCAGTGATTTTCCCTACTTTCCCAATGATCGCAACCTAGGGATTTGATGTTCGCCAGATTCGCCAGGTTGCCCTCCAGTAATTTAACATAGCTATTGAAATGGCCATTTAGTTCGATGATTTACCTATCAACAAATATCAAAACATGTGGTGATTCGCCATAGTTATAGGATGTTATAGGAATGTTAGTTTACCGGTTACAAAATCCGCCACCCTTGAGCCACTGGACGTCTCTCCCATCCACTGCGGCGCTGGTGGCGCTGGTGGCCGCCGGCCAATAGAAGCCATGCCGTTGCCCATGGCCATAGTCATGGCGTTGAACATGCCTGCGCCGCTACATCTTGGAACAAGAATTTTTGCTGCTAGAATTGGATTCACATGGTCTTATATAGGATGATCTAGTTTTCTTAGCCTCCATTTAGGATGGTACACCAAAATGTATAGTGAATACAATACAGTTTTGTTTTAATGTACTTAAATATGGTGTAATGGGATATTCATGGGACTATATGTGATATACCCTCTGGTACTCAAAACATGGCTGGAAAATGCACCATTGACTTCGATTTCTTATCCCAGCTGTAAGCCTCCATATTATGATGGAATTTCCGGCAAACCATGTTTGATTCCCAGAGGGTATGATGTTTCTTGGGGTGCCAACATTCAAAGTGAAACAAAACAACCTAAGTCGTTGCACCACCATCTTGGCAGTCCGATGAAAGTCTGAAACATTGACAACAAATAGATACCGAAAATGGATTTGTTTAAACATGGTTCGAAGGTAAATGGCCAGTTAATGGGGAAGATGATGAACAAGCATCAACTATGGCTATGGGCATACCCTGACAAACCCATCATGTCACAAAGTTGGTTGAAGAAGCATGAAAGCTACAAAGGTTGGCGACATAGTTAGGCAACTCGCTGCTGCTGACAAGTTCTTAGGGAATGTGAGAAGTTTGCCTTCGTTCCAGAAGATTCAGCAGCAGCAGGTGGACAAGTTTCTGGGCATGATGAGGAATGGCAAGTTCAACGCGCGCAGTGCGCAGGCAAATCATAGAAAACACTCCATGGAAGAAACGATGGTAGAACGGTAGAACCATAGATGGAACAAAGCAAGGGATACAGGCAAACTCTTGAGGCCCCCTGCGCAAACCACGTGCCATCATTGCTGCAAAAGTGATCATCGACGTAAAAGCGGGCATCCTCGGCAAGGGACTCGGCAAACCCAACGAATAGTAGTTACCGCCCTGGAGCCTCATGCCACTGTTCTGTTGCCACGGACAGAGCTCCGGTCACCGGTGCTCTGCCCGTGACCGCTCGTTGGTAGGGTGTGAAGCCCGTCCGATTGTAGAAGCGGTTGTGCGCGGTGACAACCTCCTGGATGGTCAGCTTCAGCTCCTCTTCAGTGGTGGCACCAACTTCATGTAGAGCTCCTTCAAGTCTCGTTTTGAAGATGCCACCGGCGCGTTCGGTGCGCCCGTTCTCCCAAGGACTCCGTGCGGTTTTCCCAAGTTTTTCCATCATTTTCCTCGGTTTTCCCCAGTTTTCCCATCATTTTCCTCGGTTTTCCCAACTTTTCCCATCATTTTCCTGGGTTTTCCCAAGTTTTCCCATCATTTTCCTAGGTTTTCCCAAGTTTTCCCATCATTTTCCTCGGTTTTCCCAAGTTTTCCCATCATTTTCCTAGGTTTTCCCAAGTTTTCCCATCATTTTCCTAGGTTTTCCCAAGTTTTCCCATCATTTTCCTAGGTTTTCCCAAGTTTTCCCATCATTTTCCTCGGTTTTCCCAAGTTTTCCCATCATTTTCCTCGGTTTTCCCAAGTTTTCCCATCATTTTCCTAGGTTTTCCCAAGTTTTCCCATCATTTTCATCGGTTTTCCCAAGTTTTCCCATCATTTTCCTCGGTTTTCCCAAGTGTTCCCATCATTTTCCTCGGTTTTCCCAAGTTTTCCCATCATTTTCCTCGGTTTTCCCAAGTTTTCCCATCATTTTCCTGGGTTTTCCCAGGGTTTCCATCATTTTCCTCGGTTTTCCCCAGTTTTCCCATCATTTTCCTAGGTTTTCCCAACTTTTCCCATCATTTTCATCGGTTTTCCCAAGTTTTCCCATCATTTTCCTCGGTTTTCCCAAGTGTTCCCATCATTTTCCTCGGTTTTCCCAACTTTTCCCAAGTTTTCCCATCATTTTCCTAGGTTTTCCCAAGTTTTTCCATCATTTTCCTCGGTTTTCCCCAGTTTTTCATTTTCCTAGGTTTTCCCAACTTTTCCCATCATTTTCCTGGGGTTTTCCCAAGTTTTCCCATCATTTTCCTCGGGTTTTCCCAAGTTTTCCCAAGTTTTCCCATCATTTTCCTCGGTTTTCCCATCATTTTCGTAGGTCAGCTCGACATCCTGCGGCAAGTTCCAGTAACATTCTACAGCGAAGATATCTTCTGTACAGTCATGTCCTCAAGCAAAGAGATTTCCCAACAACAACAGCAACAACAACAACAACAACAACAACCACAACCAACAACCAACAACCAACAACCAACAACCAACAAACAACAAACAACAAACAACAAACAACAAACAACAAACAACAAACAACAAACAACAAACAACAAACAACAAACAACAAACAACAACAACAACAACCACAACCACAACCACAACCACAACCACAACCACAACCGCAACAACCACAACAAAAACACTGTATGTATATATATATACACATAATGATATAACGTATATATGTATATATATATAGGCAAGTAACATCCCCACTTCTTTGGCTAAATCCGTGCCAATTTTCTTGGTGATGCTCAAACCCATCATCTCACCACCTATGCATTTTTTGGGCACAAACATATTCCAAAAGAGAGTGGGACGCCACCAGGTCCCCCAAAATACGTGGTTTTAAGCGTTTGCTTTGACTTTTTTTCATCTTTTGATCATATATGAAAGATCAAAGTTCTTGGGAGATGTACTGTTTTTGGTTTGTTAATCCTTAGCTCTATTCTTGATTGCTTGCTTTTTGTAGCTCTATTGTTTTTTGATAGGTGGTCTTAGTGCACGAATGGCAAAATTCTTTCTTTGCCCAACAACATCTTGAAACATAGAGATTCATTGTGTCAGTTGGTACTTCATGTATATATTAATGTATAGGTACTACCTAGGTATACAGCTATTGCAAAGATAGTGAATATATACATATACATATACATATACATAGCACTTTGTATTTGCATTGATGGTTTTTGATATTAGACTGCCAGGTCGCCTTTTGGTTGACATAGTTCCAGTGGAACTCCTTTAGCAAATGAAAGTGCAAATTCCAATCTACTCTCCCTCCTCATGTAGTTACATTGTTTGGCATACTTCATGGTAACTTGCTGCATCAATGAAAAGCAAGGCAGCCATTCTATAGGTACAGTTGTTTGGTATGTTTCCTTTACGTGGTCTTGTGCCCTTCTGATTACCATGATGAACTTATACTGACATAGTTTAAATTTTGCCCACAGCCATGAGTACATTTATGGTAATAAAAAGATCAAAAAAACAGCCAAGCAATTCTGGTAACAGGATACCTGGATTAGATATGCAGTGGCATAGCAAATTACTGTAGAATATATAGGAAAATATGTTTTTGAGAAAGTGTAGGTTGGAGCTGTCCTTCCCATGTGCCAACTCTTATGAGCAAAGTCAGTTGCAACCCTGGAAGAATACCATTGCATATGCAGGAGAAATGTAGAACACTTGTGCCTGTAAGGGCATAGGTGACTTATATGCCACCCATTTTCCAACCTACTGTTCCTCCTCAAATAGTTGCATTTTTTGCATACTTCATGGTAACTAGCTGCATCAATGAAAAGCAAGGCAGCCATTCTATAGGTACAGTTGTTTGGTAAGGTTGCTTAAGTGTTTCCTTTACGTGGTCTTGTGCCCTTCTGAGTACCATGATGGACTTACTGACATAGTTTAAGTTTTGCCCACAGCCATGAGTACATGTATGGTAATAAAATGTCTGTTGTTATATTTGCAGTGACACAGCAAATTGCCATGGAATATGCAGGTAAAAACGCCTTTTCTGAAGCAAGGGGGAACTGGAAGTGCCCCAGGAATTTGCCAACTCTTGTGATCAATCAATATTTTAAGCAAAGATCTTTTATTGCAGTGAAACCTAGAAGAACACCATTGCATAGGCAGGAGAAATGTAGAACACTTGTGCCTGTAAGGGCATAGGTGACTTATAAATTATATGCCACCCATTTTCCAATCTACTGTCCCTCCTCAAGTAGTTGCATTTTTTTTTGCATACTTCATGATAACTTGCTGCATCAATGAAAATGGTAACTTGCTGCATCAATAAAAGGCAAGGCAAACATTCTATAGATACAGTTGTTTGGTAAGGTTGCTTAAGTGTTTCCTTTACTTGGTCTTGTGCCCTTCTGGTTACCATGGTGGACTTATACTGACATAGTTTAAGTTTTGCCCACAGCCATGAGTACATGTGTGGTAATAAAAAGATCATAAAAACACAGCCAAGCAATTATGGTAACAGGATACCTGTATTAGATATGCAGTAGCATAGCAAATTACTGTAGAATATACAGGAAAAAATTGGAGAAAGTGTAAGTTGGAGCTATCCTTGCCATGTGCCAACTCTTATGAGCAAAGTCAGTTGCAACCAAAGAGTCTTTATTGCAATTAATCCTGGAAGAATTCCATTACATATGCAAAGTACATGTGGAAAATATGTGTACGTATTGGTATGTGCTAATTACTTATGTACCATCCATATCATAGATGCATACAGTAGTACTACCAGGAAAAATGCAAGTCCATCAATTTATATAGGAGGGCTACGAGGGGGGGAAGGCCCGAAAAAAAACACGTTTTTTCCTTTGCCACCTCTCTCCCTAAGGGAAGCCATATATATATATACACACTATGTTTGTTTTTCCTCCTTCCTTTTCCCTGGAGACCTTCATGACTCTCTGGACATTCTATGGCAACCTTTGAGGAAGTCTGACAATCTGTGTGGATCTCTAGTAGTACCATAACAGGTATATGAACATACATGATCGAACAGGATATAGCAAAAACACTGCATTTTCAGACACGTGGAAAAATGGGGACCTGACAGCGTCCCTTTCTGTTCCAAAAACACATCGTCAACATTATTTGGGCTCAGACATCTTCTGAATGGGGACTAAGATGGATCTAAGTTATACCATCTGGTTATGACTCACACAACTGGAAAATCACAATTTTTAATAGGTAAACCAACTATTTCTATGGGCCATCTATACCATGGCTATGTTAAATAACCATAGGGCAACTTTATCCATCTTGTGTCTAACTTAATCCCCACCATTACCACGGAACTTCCGTGTGAGGATAGCCTGGCTGCATGCCATGGGATCCATGGGATCCATCGCCCCACCAGTCACTCCAGTCATCCCAAGACCTCAGGGTCGATGCTTCAGGCATTTCCCCCCCAAAAAATGGATGAAATGGATGAAATGGATGAAAGTAAGTTTTTTTTTTTGCATCCTCATGGTCTATTTTTTGAATCTACCAACACTCAAGACACATCTAATTCAAACCGCCAACAGTCATCCGCGTTCCGAACTTCTTTGTTTCTTCGGCCAGTGAGTTCGCAGTGGTGGGTTTGGATTTCTGGATTGCCTTGCGATGGGCATATCCCCAAGTGCATTGATCTATCAATCTATGTAATGTTTGGGTATGTTTGGGTATGACCAAGTATATTCATCATGGCTATCATACTCACAGAATTCACATCTACTCACTACTTGGCGGTTCGGCTAAGCTAATGGGTTGCAAAGAAAACCAGAGTTTTTTCGAGGCCCCATGGGGCCCAACGGCAGGTTAGAAGCTTAGAATCCCACAGTTGTAATGGCACCTCCAAGGATTTTCGCCCAGTGCCAATGAGCCAGTGAAATCGACCCAACAACTCCATTCTTCATTCTTCATCTGGGTATTGCACTAAGAAAAATATGCTGATATTATTGATATTATTTCATTGGAATACAAAAGGGATGTACATGATGTAACCAACATCTGTGATTTGGGTGTCTGACAAATGCGATGAATACCACTTCAATGACAATTATAATAGGAACCTATGAGGATTAACCACCGGATTTTGGGATACCTTGCCAACTTTCCAAAACACCAAAAGAATCTGAAAATCTAAGCGGCTACAACGGCTACAACGCTACAATACATCTAGGGTACAGTATGAAACCTATTCAACTACCTCTCAACAACTGGAACTCTGGTATTTCCTTATTCCCCTCAAGAAGCAAGACAAGAAACAACGTAATGATCTACATTTGTTTGACAGACTTCACAATGGCTCTATTGCTTTACGAATCTTTACGAACCTGCGTTATTCTTGGCTCTGGGATATTCCAAAAGGTTGGATCCTGGCTATGGTCAATGGAACTTGTTGATTTCCATGCTTACCCTACTACATAATACGTGAAAATAACGGAACATGCCACACGATCCTCCATCGAACTGGCCCTGGCGCCGAAAAACCCCAATGCCATCCACCATATGTTTCTTCAACCAAGCATAACAGGGTAAACCATTGACTTTACCAACTTATGACTTATGACCTTAAACCATTGACTTTACCAACCAACCATATTCACCAACCATGACCAGCATTTCACAGATCCAAGTGACCCCCAACTGTTGAAATTCGCCACATTCGCCACAGCCATGGCCGGTGCTTTTGGCGTGGTGGGCGCCATCGGCACCGCGGCTGGACGCGGCGCTGGCTGCGGCGGCGGCCGGGAGGCTGGCATGGCTTCTTTCTTGGCTTCGGCTTCCCACATCTCCTGGGGAAACCAAAGTGAGGTCACTCTTCATATTATCTGGTTGGTGGTTTCAACTCTGAAAAATATGAGTCAGTTGGGATGATGATTCCATATTATTCCCAATATATGGAAACATAAAAGTCATGTTCCAAACCATCAACCAGTTATACTTGGGGCTGTTCCAGAGCCATTGGGGATCATCCGATTTGGATGCCTGGAGCGTGGAAAATTGGAACTACCCTCTGGTAATGACTAACATAGCAATTGAAAATGGCCATAGAAATAGCTGATTTACCTATGAAAAATGGTGGTTTTCCATGGCGAACTGTTAGTTTACCAGAGGGTAAATTTCCATAGATAGCGTATATCCCAGTTTTGGTCAAACTCATATCACGTTGACAGTTGTATGCTGACTATATCCCCATTCTTGTAGGTTCAAGTGCCATTTTATGAGTCATATCCCACTTAATATCCACCCATGTATAGTTTTAATACCTCTCCTTGACTTTGACCATCCAAGTTTCCGGACATGACATATACCCTCTGGTAATTTAACATAGCTTTTGGAAATTGCCAAAAAAATAGGCAAACTACCTACAGGATGGGCCCCCCCAGTGATGTTTGTTGGTTTATAAACCACAATAAAACCACCATGAACTAGTTCGTTATATCTACCCTCTGGTAAACATACAAAAAGCTATTGAAGATGGCCATAGAAATAGTGGATTTACCCATTAAAATCATTAAACATGGTGATTTTCCATAGTTTTTTGTTAGTTTACCAGGCCGGGTACCATAAACCATCGTTTTTTCGCCACTCTTTCTGAAGGCAACGGATGAATTTTCCAACTCTCCTTCAGCCGGAGCAACACCATCTCTCTTGCCTTCTCCTGAGCGCGTTCTTGGAGAAGGCATGGAACGCTGCTGGATTTTTTAAGGGAACATGGTGAAAGGACTTCTGCCAGAGATTTCTGAAAGGACTTCACCATGTTTATAGGTGTTATAAACCATTCCCAAATGGGTGGTTTATTATTGTTTTGACCACATTATATATCTGGTTGGTGGTGCAATAACCATCTTTCAGCCAGCTGTGATTTTCACCAGAAAATTGATGGAAATCTGAAACGATCGCCGATTTTCAACAACAAACATGGTCAATATATATATACACACTATATGCATTACAGCTGGGATACACGACCAAATCCTAATCATTGTTATGGGTGCTCCTATCCTCATGACACAATCATTGTTGTTTTCACACCAAGCTCCATTTGTGGCTCAAACACTTACGAATCAAAACTCCAACATCGCCGAAGTATTCATCCAGCCATCTGAAGAAGAATAGCCAGCTTTGTTGAGTTACCCTCTGGTAAACAAACATAGCTATTGAACATTGTCATTTATAGTTGATTTACCCGGCTATAAAATGGTGGATCTTTCCATAGTTTTTGGTATGTTTACCAGAGGCGAATTAGTGGCATTACCGCATTCGAAATCTTGAGTCATCCCTCCCTTCATCTGCCCATCCCAATGGGCGATGAGCTTGGTGGTTGAGCCACCTACCCCTCTGAAAAATGATGGACTTAAAGTCAGTTGGGATGATGACATTCCATTCTCAACTGTTTCTGGAAAGTCATAATCCAGTTATGTTCCAAACCACGAACCAGCAACTATCCATCCGCTTGCGGATGAAAGTGACAGTTGCACCGCGCAGATTTCCCCCCGTACTTTCGGGATGATACGTAGCTCGTTTCCTCCATCATTTACTGCTTGGTGGTTGACCTAGCCCTCTAAAAAATATGAGTCAGTTGGGATTATGACGTTCCCAATATATGGAAAATCATAATCCATTCATGTTCCAAACCACCAACCAGGTATATATATATATACATACATATAGTATATATCTATTCCATTTAAATCCCCATTAATCAGTTTATACAGTGGTTAACTCTGTTTTTTACCGGAGATGGAAAGTCGGTGCTACACTTGGTACACATCATCCCTACTTGGGGCTTTTTTTGCACTGTTGGAAGTGGTTATTTAACCATAACAAAAAATATCTTAGAAACCAGGTATTATAATTGTTCATGGATGAAATGGGGACAATAATTCCCAAGACTAATAACCCATTTGATAAACAATTATAAACCACCCATTTTATCAACCAGACAGTGATAATACCACAAATATGGTTATGGTTAAATAACCATTGGTACCAGTATTATTAGTAACCATTGGTACCAGGGATGAATATCTGATTCTTGGATGATACCCAGAATCTAAGACTTAACCATAAAAATGTACCATGAACTTACTGGTGCTAAACGTAAGTAGGCAATTTTCGGGCTAACTATATATATATATATATCTATGTTAATATATATATATATATATTAATGATCCACTGGCTAACTATTAATAATCCCAGCACCCCCCAGCAACCCATCCATTCCCTATGTTTAGCACGCACCAGTAAGTTAAGCCAGGCGTCTCGCTGATCGCCCACAATTTGGATCTTGTGGAGACCGACCCCCTCGGGTGGAGGGTTCACGCCTCAGGAGGTAAGGGAGGCATCCCATAATTTGTACTGTTGCAGTTACCATCAGTGGATTGTTTGGCAGGAAAATCTACAGGAAACCATCGTTTTTCCCATGAAATCCAATGATACCAAATCTGGGAATGGGAAGGTATCATGGAATAATGGGAATAGGAATAACATGGAATAACAGAATGGGATTAACCTGAACACTATGATGTGAACTGATTTTACCAAATACCCTTTTTTTAATGGGATAACCTGAAAATAGATGAAACTTCTGGCAATTTTTTGGATGATTTCCCTAATCCAGTTCCCATCATTCCATTTTTGTTGTCACGACGTGAGGTCACAACATAATGCATCCAGATGTAGATATTAGATATCCCTATTATATTCCCACAAACTATATTCTCATTAAATCCAAATTATATCCCAATTGTCCCAATTATATATCAATTATATCCCAATAAATCCATATTGTTGTTTGTTGGTTATACATAAACCCCTAATTATTGTTGTTATTGTTTATATTTTTTTGGATCCCTAATTATTTCCCAATAAATCCTCATTCACCAGCAGCTGCACAGCTGAGTGGCCAATGTACAAACTTCCACCACAAGCATCGCGGATGGCCTGAAATTGACACCACGGTGAGGAGCTGGTGAGTACCCAGTTGTGGAGGGGACAAGCACACGAGATAAAGACTTTTCAATTTTTTTTAATCGAGATTTATTAATATATATTATATATATATATATGTATATACATAATATATACATATATACATAATATATACATATATACATATATATCTACATATACATATATATCTATATCTATATCTGTATCTATGTAAATATATATATATACACATTGGTTACCAATATCTTAGCTAGCTGCCGCGGCAAGACACTGCCACCTGCAGAGAGCAACACCCATTTTGGTTGAGCCAGCCATCCCAACACAGTGTTGGAAAATCAACACCTGCTTGGTGGTTTCAACCTGCCCCTCTGAAAAAATATGAGTTCGTCAGTTGGGATGATGTCAGTATCCCAAATAATTGAAAACCCTAATTATATATCAATTATATCCCAAATATCCGGAAAAAGTAAAAAAATGTTCCAAACCACCAACCAGACATGCATGCCAACCACCGAGGCAAATCGTTGCTGTTCCGTGAGGATCGGGTCCGTCGCCGTCGGGACTATCGATGTGCTGAGCACCGTAAAGATGAAGACTGGCGGATTGTCAAACGAGTTCCTTGTGATCAAACGAGCTTCCTACTGCAAGACTGGTGAGCAAAAAAAAATCGGACATATATATATATAATTATATATATGTATACATATTTTATGGGTGCTGAACTCAATCCATCTTGATTTTTTGAAAGAAATCTAGTGAGGTCTGTGCTTTCCGATGATGGAACCAGCAGATTGAACTCAATCCATCTTGATTTTTTGAAAGAAATCTAGTGAGGTCTTTGCTTTCCGATGATGAAACCAGCAGATTGCGGCAAGTCCAGTAGTTCCAATGCACAAAGAGTTGGGAATCGTCCCAGTCAATGGGGACACTGGCTGGAAATTATAAGCGGGGGTTATAACTGGTTGGTAGTTTCAGCCCCTCTGAAAAATACGACTTCGTCAGTTGGGGTTATGACATTCCCAATATATGGAAAAACAAAATTCATGTTCCAAACCACCAACCAGTATAATATGGATCTATTATGATATATTCAATGGCCATTTCAGGAAGCTAAATTGGAGGTACCTACCATATATAAGGCCTATATAAGGCGTATGTAAGGGAATATCCCCAAAAAATATGGCCAAACATATGGTACAGTACCTTCATTTTAGGATCCTGAAATTCCCATTGATATATTTTTTGGGGTACTTTATGATGGGATAAAACAATATAAAACATGTTTGATTTAATGGCCACTAATATGATATGGGGTTCTCCAAACATATCAAACAATGGAGGTTGCCCCAATCCTAAACCAACAGCTGTTGGGCTCATTGATAGTACCACACCCTCTGGAAATTCAACATGACCAAAGCAGCTAAAGCAAAACCCACCAGTACCTGGATGTGCATTTACTGACTGTTCTGAAAATTTTGGGACCTTGAGAATCTTGCAGGATCTTCGATGTGCATTCGAGTTGGTACTGGATAGCAACCTACAAATACACAATATACAAGTATCAAAGTGGCTATAAGATAAATTTGTGGATTATAACTATGGTTAACATTGTTTGCTACCATCTTTACAATCAAACATTGCAACAGAAAATTACCAATCTATAAAAAGTTATGAGATCTTTGTCCCATTTAAATGCCGATTTATCCTCTGGTAAACGTTTACATAACTATGGAAAATCACCATGTTTAATGGGAAAATCCACTATTTCTATGGTCATTTTCAATAGCAAACTGTTGACATAACCAGAGGGTAGTTGGGAGATTTCCAGCTACGACTTGGAAGCCACTTTTTGGGCCACTTGGCTGGAGGATCATCCCACCAGTTACGTAACTGGTGAACGCAATCATCGGTTTCATGTGGGTACCCTCTGGTTATGTCAAAATAGCTACTGAAAATGACCATTTATAGTGGATTTTCCCATTAAACATGGTGATTTTCCATAGTTATGTAAACGTTTACCAGAGAGTAAATCCATAATTCATCCAATTGTTAATCATTTCCAATGGTTATCAACCATTGTATCCCATGAAATCCCTATGACATATCCATTTAATGTGGGTAACACAGTAAACCATCCCCCAGTCATCACTGTTAAATCACTGTTTTTGATAGGTGGTATGGTTACCATCTCCCAACAATTGTTTTTTTAAATCATTATTCTGGTTGGTGGTATACCGACCCCTCTGAAACATATGAGTTCGTCAGTTGGGATGATGAAATTCCCAAGTGAATGGAACATGTTCCAAACCACTATATACGGCCTATGGACGGGAATGTCCCAGCAAAATATGGCCAAAAATATGGTACTAACGTACCTCCATTTTAGGATCCTGGAATTCCCATTATCTGGATGGTGGTTTATCATTATCTGGATGGTGGTTTCAACACCTCTGAAAAATATGAGTCAGATTGGATCATCACCCCAACTATTGGGGAAAATACAATTCACGTTCCAAACCACCAACCAGTTATTGTTTTACCCGTCGTTTTGACCGTTGGGATAAGCCAGTCGGGACCTTGATGTGTTCCCCTCCTCGACCGATAAACAAACCTGAAGGCTGAGGCTGTCTACTGAACATGAGCAAGAATGATCGTGGGTTATATTTAGTAACAACATAATATATATATATACAACTATAGTGGGATATACACATGGTAATCAACTATATATAACCATATATCATGTAATACAATCATATATCATCAACAGTGGGATATTGATATTTTTCTGGATACTGGAAAATCCCATCACCATTTTTATATCCACCCCATGAAACATGGTCCCAAAGAAATATACAATAAATCCCCTACTAAAACCCTGGTCTCTGATGGTGTGAACAAATATTAGGGGGAAGAGATCTGGTTGGTGGTTTTAACATGTTTTAACCATCTTGAAAAATACTACTGTAGTCAATGGGAAGGATTATCCCATATATCATGGAAAATAACAAATGTTCCAAATCACCAGCCAGAGATTAATTATCATTTCATGGACAGAAGTTCGATCAAATGCTAACATCATCATTATGCTTGATGTCTGAAACCCTTTAGAATCATGACATACTGTGGATGAGCCAGCGGAATCCTGCAGTTGGTAGTACCGGTTTGTCTCAGCATAAAGCCATTCCCAGCTGGTGCAGGATGGGCGGATGCCATAAGGATTTGATCAGGAAAAAGACGATCCGCTTCTACTGCTTGGTGGTTTCAACCTACCCCTCTGAAAAATATGAGTCAGTTGGGATGATGACATTCCCAACTGAATGGAAAAATAAAAAATGTTCCAAACCACCAACCAGTCTACCATTGCGCTGATGATTGATCAAGAATCATGATATGATGGGGAAAACAAACATCTTCCAATGACTAGGCGTCGAAATCTCCCCCATTTCTTAATGAATCTCCCTATTTTTCACACTTTGAAACATAGTATGTGGTTGGGAAACTCTTGGTAGCTCCTTAGCTCCCCATTTAATAGGGAATATGAATACCCATAGCTCCGAATCGCTCCCTCCTAACCACTGGATAGGAAAAATAGTGGAACCTCCCCCAGCTGTGGAAAAGATGACGCTTCCGCCCCCTCCCGCCATAGCGCGCGCCTACCATGTCACCTGGCACTTGGAGCAATTCATCCTCCACCGGTTGGGACAACTCATCGTCCATGGGACAACCTGCGATTTTTTCGAGGTGGGACGAGGCGATCGGTCTCCAATTTATGGATGGTTTACGACGTGCTACCCACATGAAATGGATATTTCATAGGGATTTCATGGGATACAATGGTTGACAACCACTAGAAATGATTAATAATTGGATGAATTATGGATTTACCCTCTGGTAAACGTTTACATAACTATGGAAAATCACCATTTTCAATGGGAAAACTCGCTATTTCTATGGCCATTTTCAATAGCTATGTTAGTTTACCAGAGGCTATTTTCTGTTGGGGTGAATCTTAAGATGCGCTGATTTTTTGACAAATCTTGTTCTGAAAATTCTTTTACCCCAAAAAAAAACACATTCTTTGATTTTCTTGATTGAAATGGGAAGAAGAACCATCGGAGATATCCTTTCCGAAACTGAAGGATTTCGGCCCAGATCATGGGAGTTTTTTAACATGGCTGGTGGCCCAATGGGAATCGTGTCATTTTTATTCCTTTCCCTCGAAGTTATCACCACCACAATGAAACAACAAACATGACGGAGACATCCTTCTTGAATATGGAACTAGTTCACCACACTTACCTGCTTTGTTCAGTTTCAAGAACACTTTATCTTAACCCAATTAAGATAGGAATGGGTATAACATGGTAAACCCTCAGCCCTAAACCACTCCCAAATCAACCATTTGGGGTTGTTATAAATCATCCCATTTGTAGGATCATATAGGTTTGTCTGAAAATGGTTGATACCATGTGATGCCTTCAAATAGCCACTTTAATCCGGGAAAAATATGGATAATCAGTAGATTCAGGGCTACCTGAACCATTCATACACTACAATTGTGGATGGTGAGTAATGTGGTATTCACACCATGCCGCAGTCACCATCCCCGAGGTTTAATTTCAATTGGGTATACATCACGTTCTTTATATGAACCTCAGTCACAGTCGGCCAAGGGGATGAAATTGATATTGATTTATTGGCCAATCGCCGATAAAGAATCCCATAAATCCGATTTTTTTTGTTGGTTAAATCCCAATTATACATTTTAATTTCACCGTTTATATCCACATATGTTTGTTGGTTAAATCCCAATTTTTGTTAAATCCCACCTACCATCCAGTAATCAAACATAGCAATGGAAGATGCCCCCAGCTATAGCCATTTTGATCGTGGATTTCCCGGCCCACCTTTTGATGACACCCGAGGGTATATCAACTAATATCCCATTAGGAAGCACTATTCATGGATATGATTCACCATTAATCACCATTATTCACCATCATAACCATAAAAAAATACTATTCATGGATACTAACCATCACATTTCCCATTAAAACCCCACTCAATAGCCATGAAATTCTAGGATGATTCATAAATACCCCGTGGATACAACCATTATTCACCATTCTAACCATTACTCACCATTGTATGTATATGTATGTGTATATACATATATATATATATCTGTATATATATATATATCCTATGGCTATTTAACATAGCCATGGACAATCCCTTATAAATGGAGGTTTTAATGGGAAAATCATCTATAAATGGGCCATCTATACCATGGCTATGTTAAATAACCATAGGGTATATATATATAATATACACCCTATGGATGATCCCGTCACCCCCAGTCGGGACGTCTCGACGCCATGGCCTTTCTGCGCCAAGGTCTCCCGGATCAAGGCTTCGGCCCTCACGACGTCACCCGTGATGTTGATATCACCTGTGCATCGCGCGCATCGCGGGAGGCTCGCGCATCGCGGGAGCGCAGACTTGGAGCCAAGTGAAGCCAAGTTCAGCCCAGTCTGAAAGAGAAAAATCCCATGGATTTAAATATCTATATATCTGTTATAGTGATTCAACTATCAAGATGTAACTTATCTACTTAATCTATCCTGGATATCAATGGATATCGATGATTTACCTATGAATGATCAATTCTTTCCACCGTTTAGACGATCAACCTGATGATTTACCTATAAAAATTGGTGATTTTCCAGTTGGCTACATTAAATAAGGGGGCGAAATTAACTTGGCATTTTTTTTTGCATTTATTTTTTTGGTCGTCCAAGCTCCCTTCCTTGGTTTTTGCAGCTAAAATCTCTCATTTGCTGCATTTTGTGGCTAAAATCTCTCATTTGCACTGTTCATCCATTTCTCCACTGGTTTCAGGATTTTTTCCATGGTTTTTATACGTGTTTATCGTGTTTTCCATCGTTTTCATTGGTTTGTCCATGATTTTCTTCAAGTTTTCCATGGTTTTCTTCAATTTTTCCATGGTTTTCTTCAATTGTTCTATGGTTTTCTTCAATTGTTCTATGGTTTCTTCCATTGTTCTATGGTTTTCTTTCATTTTTCAATGGTTTTCTTCAGTTGGGGGCAAACTTTGAATCCTTAGCCATGTCAACTTTGTATTGGTCAGGTTGCAAAAGTGCCTTGATTCCCAAATCCCACATCATACGTGGTGTGAAAGACGTGTGTCAGAAAGTAGAATCTGTTAGTGTGTTCTTACTTTACATATGTGTGTTACCACCTATATTTTTAGGCCGCTCTTGTTTTTAACACTCAATTTCAATCGAAAGAAACTGTTCATCGTCTTCAAAAGAAGCGCCAAATCGGTGACTTATTTCCATTGTCATCCCTAGCTGCTAGGCCAACGCTCTCAGAAAACGTTCTCTGTCTTCATCACATACTTGGTGGCTCATCCCACGAATCGTAAGTGGGTTAGTTCACACCAGTTATAAATGGGATAAGTAAGGTTAATCCACATCAATCACTGGGGTTATAACCCACTTACGATTCGTGGGATGAGCCACCAAGTAGTCAAGAACTGAAACTCTTGGCTGCCATTGAGAGACGTGCTTGGTCAGAAATCTTTGTTCGAAGATCTCTTTGGACCTGTGCTGCACGCCGCGACTTGTCGTCCAGGATTCATGTACCTCGAAAGCATAATCCGGGACATCGCGACCGGCAAAGTCCCATTGGTGGGGATGGCGACTGCCATCCTCTTTGCTGACTCACCGTCTGTGCCGTCTAAGTAGGCCTCAGCATCTGCTCGACGTTATAATTTACCCACATTAATCCTTAGTTATATCATGAATAGTGGGGATATCCCATATTATGATATATAATGGATATAATTATGATATCCTTATAGTCATATCCCATGTATAGTTTCAATCCTTAGTTAGTTGTATTATGATTTCCCCCAGGTCATAGTTATATCCCATAATGTATATATATATATATATGTATACCACTAAATATATTATATCCCATTATATATATACAGTCAGTGCCAGAATTATAGAACGGAGCCAGGAGGACAAAAGTACGGTAAAATACCGTACCTTTGTCCTCCTCCGGGTTCCGATTCGGAGCGGAGTCGGGAAATTTAATTATAGAACGGGGAGGAGGACAAAGGTACGGTATTTTACCGTACTTTTGTCCTCCTGGCTCCGTTCTATAATTTCTGGCACTGACATGATATTTACTGCATATTTGTACATATACAATCTAGAAAATGAAGATTTAATGAGGATTTAATGAGGATTTGATGAGAAAATGAAGATAAAATGCAGATAAAATGACGATTTGATGAGGAAACGAGGATAACATGAGGATAAAATGAGGATAAAATGAAGATAAAATGAGGATTTGATGAGGAAATGATAATAAAACGCGGATAAAATGAGGATAAAATGAGGATTTAATGGGGATTTGATGAGGAAATGAGGATAAAATGAAGATTTAATGAGGATTTAATCAGGATTTGATAAGGAAATGAAGATAAAATGATGATAAAATGAGGATTTGATGAGATAACGAGGATAAAATGAGGATAACATGAGGATAATGGGAAATGTGGGAAAAATGGGGGAAAACAGAATTATAGAACAACAGCGCTCCGACAAGAATTATAGAACGACGAAAAAAGTTAGGAGTAAATTCAGATACGTTTTTTTTCTACCTTCCGAGGAAAACAGAATTATAGAACAACAGGGTACGGTAAATAACCGTACCTTCGTACTCCTCAACTTCCGTTCTATAATTCTGTTTTCCCCCATTTTTCCCACATTTACCAGGTGATTTTCTTAGATTTCATGGTGATTTTATAAGATTTCATGGTGATTTTATGGGATTTCATGGTAATTTTATGGGATTTCACGGTGATTTTCTTAGATTTCATGGTGATTTTATAGGATTTCTGGGACCCCGGAAGAGGTTCTATAATTCTACAATTAATTTTTCCGTTCTATAATTAATTTTTCCGTTCGACGGAAAAATTAATTATAGAACGGGGCCCGGGAAACATTAATTATAGAACGAAAATGGGAAATGTGGGAAAAATGGGGGAAAACAGAATTATAGAACAGCAGCGCTCCGACAAGAACTACGAAAAAAGTTAGGAGTAAATTCAGATACGTTTTTTTTCCACACCTTCCGAGGAAAACAGAATTATAGAACAACAGGGTACGGTAAATAACCGTACCTTCGTACTCCTCAACTTCCGTTCTATAATTCCGGCACCTACAGTATAATTATTTTTTCCGTTCTATAATTAATTTTTCCGTTCTATAATTAATTTTTCCGTTCTATAATTAATTTTTCCGTTCTATAATTGATTTTTCCGTTCGACGGAAAAATTAATTATAGAACGGGGCCCGGGGAAAATTAATTATAGAACGAAAATGGGAAATGTGAGAAAAATGGGGGAAAACAGAATTATAGAACAACAGCGCTCCGACAAGAATTATAGAACGACGAAAAAAATTAGGAGGAAGATCAGATACATTTTTTTTCATACCTTCCGAGGAAAACAGAATTATAGAACAACAGGGTACGGTAAATAACCGTACCTTCGTCCTCCTCAACTTCCGTTCTATAATTCCGGCACTGACCATATATACACCATTATACACCACTAATTATAAATATATAATATATTATAAATAGTACACCGTTTTTTTTTACGTAGTACATCATTATGTGTATATAATATATATACACTGGTTGGTGGTTTTAACATCTTGAAACATATTAGTCAAATGGGATGATGAAATTCCCAATATATGGAAAATAAATCCAAATGTTCTAAACCACCATCCAGATATATTATTGGTGACATCCCTATGATATAGCATCATTAACCATCATTAAGCATCATTAACCATCATTAACCAGATATATATATAATATTATAAATAGTACACCATTCAATTCATAAACAATACACCATTATGTGTGTATATATATATTTATGTATATTATATCCCATTCATTCGCCCACTTTTTTCGAAGACGCAAAATCGCCTTCATCGGAAATTCGATCGTGATCCACTTTGATCTCCGCATTGGTCCGGTCACCTCAGTAGGGAATTTTTGGGTGTTTCCATGGGGAATCCCCAATAGAAATGGTTGGTTTATAATGGGAAAATCAATCAATAAATGGAAACACGGGTTGTTCATAAGGGAAAATCTATCTATAAATCCCCAATAGCTGGATGGTTTATAATGGGGGAAATCCCACCAAAATGGATGAGAACTAGGGGTACGCCCATTTTAGGAAACCTTCATTTTGACATTCGAAAAAAAAGGGAAAATGCCAAGCACCAAACGGTGGAGATTTCCATGTATGACAAGTTCAAAATCTGGAATAATATTTCAAATGGATTGTTTCCATACCAAAGGAACACATTTCATCAATACCAAAGTAACATATTTCCGTAAAATGTGTTTTGTTGTGAGAAAGTCGACACAAAATGAAGTACAACAAACCTTTTTGACAGCTGAATCTCATCCAGCTTGACGTCATCGAAGCTCAAGCTCCGTCTGCGGGCCGTCTCCGTCTGCGGTCTGAATGGTGACTTTGTAGACTCATCTGAGCATTCGGGCGTTGTGCCTGCCTTCTGGTAAACTAACAGTTTGTGACATAGAACATGGCCACTAACAGTTCGTTGATTTACCTATGAAACATGGTGATGTTCCGCTAAGCAAACTCTTAGTTTACCAGAAGATAAGTGTTTTTTTGTAAGGATCCAGCGACCTCATGGCCTCTGTCTCATTGGTAAATGCTCAGGAAACCCACAAGGATCTGCAAAGACACGGGCCCTTGCAGGTCGTATCATCAAAGCGGAAAAGTAGAGATGTCCTTTAAAGTGCCTGGTTAACAGTGATTCCTATAATTAATGGAATATGATAATATGAGCATTTCCCATGCAGTCTGTAATATGTTCCCATACAATCATCAAACACCTGGGTCTGAACATTGCCCAATGAACCTGTTAAACTTCACTCCAACCTACTACATTTCAATGAAAGATTCCCGTTTGATATTGTTGGTTCTATTCTCAATCCGATCCCCATATCATTGCTAGTTAAAACCTCAAAAACAACTATAATTGATGCTTAAGTCCGTTTAAGTACCAATAAGCATCAGCCCACCATCATTTCAGTTATATCCACTTACATGCCTCTATATGCCTCTGCTTAAAACCCTATTAAATCCCCTTGCCAGGGTGTCATCAACCATATACTCATCAACCAACTGGCAACGACAGGTTGCCGAGGGATTGTACCTCTATCCCAGATATACAAGGTGTACGACTGCCAACCACTCGCAGCTAGTAAATATTAAAATATTGATTGACAAATAGGATCTAATATCTATATTATATCTATCTAATTATCTATATAGCTCGTAATTAAACATCTATCCAACATATTGAATTCCATATATTTAACAACTAGTACACTCCAGTAAATTAATATATATATATATGCAAAACCAATGGATTTCAAGATCTTTGTAAGTTTATCAGAGGGTGACCACTTATAGCAAATTACATCCATTACAAATGGTGAGTATCCTGATCTATTGTCTAAAGCATTGTAAGCTCTAGAACGACGGGTCACCCTGAAATTGATGCGACAAAATCATCTATTACATCCGGGAAAAGAAACTTTTGTTTTTTTTGTAGACCATAGTGAACCTAGTGAAATGTTTAGCTAAAAGCTATTGGACCCGGAGACCACATATTGCCATAATATCAATACATAGCCAGAATGACCACAGTGTACTGGAGAATATATCACAAAAACGACACTGTTTGGTGGCTCATCCCACTTAGTAAGTGGGCTATAACCCCAGTTATAAATGGGATAAGTAAGGTTAATCCACTTATAACTGGGGTTATAACCCACTTACGAGCCGTGGGATGAGCCACCAAGTGGGGAATATACTGATTATTGTTGGTGTCAAAAACCACATTTGTTGCAAAAATCCACATCTTCCAACATTTTTCATGGTTTTTGATCCCAAGTTTTCCCATTGAGGCAAGCCAATGGTTAGCATGTTCCATTAAAACCTATGAACGCTTCATTAATATCACATTAGTATCCCATTGATATTGCTAATAGTGCATATTTCCATGTAGTTCCACGAAATCCCATTAAATCCCATTAAAATTAAATAAAGTCACATAGAACCACCATATATCCCCAGGAACATGGGAATATCCCGTTACCCTCCGGGAATCAGCCTTGTGCCTTGCTGAGTTTACGGATTTTCCAGCCATGTTTGATACCGGAGGGCATACCCTCTGGCAAATTAACATAGCGAACTGGAAAACCACCACTTTTAATGGGTAAATCAACTATTTCTATGGCCATTTTCAATAGCAAACTGTTAGTTTACCAGAGGGAATCAATCCACTATTATCCCATTAAAAAAGCACTATTCATGGATACGAACCATCACATCTCCCATTGAAACTTCATTCAATAGCCATACTAGCATGATTCATAAATTCCCTGTGGATATAACCATTATTCACCATCATAACCATTCTAACCATTCTAACCATTACTAACCATTTAATTCACCATTTAATTCACCATTTAATTCACCACTAGAAAGCTGGTGTACCCTCTGGTAATTTTACATAGATATTGAAAATGGTCATAGATATCATAGAAATAGTTGATTTACCTATTAAAAATGTGGTTTCTAATGGTAATTACTAACCATTGCTAACCATTCTAACCATGAGGGTATCCCACTAAGTCCTGATCTGAGTTTCCCCACAGATCTGCTTGATGTTTTCTCCCCCTCGACCCAGTAGCACCCGGATCTGCACCGATTTCAAGCGCATCGTTTTGCGCCTGGCGGGTGTGAACCCCTGCCGTGCAATCAGTGGGTTGGAGGGATCAACCAGCGGAATTTACGGAGTTTACTGGATTTTACACGTGGCTAGCTGAAAAAAACCTGTATACATGAGTAAATGGGGGGTTTATAGCGCGGAATATCATCTATAAATAGAAGCTTTTCTTTTGCCATGTTTGATAACCTGAGGGTAATGAATGTTGTTTTCTGGAACATGTCTTTTCCCTTCATTAGATGATACAGAGGTTCTCGGAGAAATATACGATTGAGTCAATTGGTTGTTTCAACCCATCCTCAAAAATCGTCAATTGGGTCAATTGCCTCATCACTACATCACAGGTAGGGTGCAACACCAAATATGTCTGAAAGCATCAACAGATCATCATAGGTGCAATATGACGCAATAGATTATACTAGAGTTACACGTGGGATAATGGCAGCAATTGGGGACTTGGTGGGGCACAATATACGAAGCAGCTTGAAGAAGACAGGATACAGCACAAAATTGGGGGCTTGCCATCAGGAGTTGATTGTGAACCATGGGAAATGGGGTCACAGTACAGTACACCATTTTCAGACACACCCATAGTTCAACATATATATCATATATCATAATATTAGTCTGGTTGGTGGTATACCTACCCCTCTGAAAAATATGAGTTCGTCAGTTGGGATTATGACATTCCCAATATATAGAAGGTCATAAAAGTCCATAGTTCCAAACCACCAACCAGTAGTTGGTGATATCCCACTTAATATATAATTTTTTTCATTACTCTCCAGCAATCCAACATGCTGGAAAAACCACCGAATTGACCAGGCCTCAGGCTATCTCTGGATACCATTGGCCTCGTTGCGGAGCAGTTGGGGCGTTTCGCAGTGTGCTGGTGTTGTTGGCAATAAGTGATGTTGCTACATGACAATTAAATACGATAAAACAAGTTGGGATGAGATCTTTATTTACATATTTGGTATTTATATGTATTTATCGCTTTTGAAATGATATCAAAACACAACGTAGTATATATATATTTGTCTGGGTAGATCAAAATTACTTCCCAACCTTAACAAATCAGGCATTTTGGTTTCGCTTACGCTTACGCATCATCTTTGGGGAAGTCGTTGTGACGAAAAAAACCTGGCCTTCTGTTCCAAAATAGCTGATAGATTCAGATAGATTCCTGATAGATGGATGTTCATGATGTTCTTCCCCCAGAAAATTGAAGTAATTCATCGGGGCAATTCTTTTTTTTCACTCACCTGAAATAAGGCCTCCCGTCTTCTCCAGTCAAGCCATTTTGGGATGATTCCTCTTAACTATGATTCCAGGCTTCGGGAGACCAGTGAGGTCATTACCCGACATGGTAAACATACAAAAAACGATGGAACATCACCATGCTATTAATTAATGGGAAAATAAACTCTTTCGACTGGGCCATTTTCCAGTTCGCTTTTTGTATGTTTACCAGATGGTATATCACTAAATCCCATTAAATCCCATTAAATCCCATTAAATCCCATTATATCCCATTAAATCCCATTATATCCCATTAAATCCCATTAAATCCCATTAAATCCCATTAAACCTCCATTAAACCAGGGTAACCCAATCAGAAATGCTAATCATTTGCCCAGATGTCATGATTTTCATGGGTTTTGAGCCATTTCTGACTTTGGAACCGGAGAATGTGTGGAAGCTCCCCTGGCACTCTGTGGCCACGGCTGGAATGTGTGGAATTCTAAAACCACCAACGAGATTTGAACTCGATGAACCAATAATGATATCCCATGTCCCTATGAATATCGTGATATCCCCCTAGTCAACCACATCAACTAGTGATATCAACCACTTATATCATAAACTATGAATATGTGTGGATTCTAAGAGCAGTAAGTACCCTCTGGTAAACTAACATAGCTATTGAAAATGGCCCAGTCGAAATAGTTGATTCTCCCATAAATAGCATGGTGATTTTCCATAGCTTTTTGTATGTTTACCAGAGGGTATCATCCCCCTAAACAAGCATACTTGGTGGCTCATCCCACGGCTCGTAAGTGGGTTAGTTCACCCCAGTTATAAGTGGATTAACCCTACTTATCCCATGTAAATCACTGGGGTTATAACTCACTTACGATTCGTGGGATGAGCCACCAAGTAGTTTATGGCATTGGCTTTCCCACATGAAGCACAACCAGCGCTGAACTCGCGCTGAGTTTGTTCCCGGACTTGGATGAAACTGCTGGATGAAGCACACAACTGGGGGTGTCCCATAACTTATGGAGGTTAGAATCCCATAGTTATAACCATAGTTATAACCATCGTTATAACCAAAGTTATAACCATAGTTATGCCGTCAAAAACTGTTATACCCATTAATTGCCATTGATAACCATTGATAACCATTCACAAGCACTAAAAACAATCATTTTCCCATAGTTATACCATGTGTCATAGCTATAAAACTAACCCCAGTGCACCCCCAAGTCTGGAACCACATATGAACTGGTCCTGTTTAGGTTAGAGGCTACCCTCCTCAACCTTTTCCCCAACAGACTTCTGTCGGTCACGTCATCGACGTTTTCCTTACACAGATCTTTTCAACAGAAACACCAGACATCAAGACATCTGAGTTTGTCTGAAGATAAGGTATGCCCAAATTCAAATCCCATGGTTGCTCATCATTGAAATTACAGGGATATATTCCTCACTCTTGGACAAACCCCGAGAAAAGAAAGTGTTGCCTCCATAAGATGCCTCGCTGCATCCCCAGTTCTATCTATCCCATCACATCACCGAAAATCCCATGGAAAATCCTATAGAATCCCCATCATATCCTCATCAAATCCCCAAAAAAACAGGCAAACTGTCAAAGCGCAGTAAAACATTTCAAAATATCATCTTAAATCATGGAAAAACTGCACTCCCAGGGGCTGCAGTTCTGAAAAAAAAACACCATCAAATCTCGCTAAAAATCCAGCATTAAATCACCCCAAATCCCCAGGGTCGGGTTTCCACACCCTCCGTCGTGAGGAGACGGGTTTTGTGGCAGCGGCGTGGCAACGGGTCGAGGCTCAAGATCCTTCACCTGGGCAACGGCTGCCATCCCATGGAATTTTCCATGGTGGTTTCCTGTAAGTGTTCGCTTAAATCCAAAGATGGCGAGTTTATTCCTCAAGAAAAGATCTGTTTTGGATTATCATGTAGAAACTATAGAGAATAAGCCGTGAAACCTACTTAACCAGTGGGCTTTACCTAGGTATTTTCTGTTTCAAAAACATAGTTTAAGGCCATTAAAGCTCCATTCTCCGTGGGGGAGGTGGAGGAAAATGAAGCAAAAGAGCATATATGATCCCGTCTTCCGCCCACGAGGTCCCCCCCCCCAAATGGGAAGGGTCCCCAGGTAGCACCCGTTCCCTCCTCGTATTTGCTAGGTTTTTGCAGCCATTCTGACTACCAGCCTCGCGTTTACTAGGTACATGCTACCTTTTACACGACCTACGTAGCACACATACTCCCTCAAAGTACCTACGTGCTACCTATAGTTAAATATACACGTGCTATGTATAAATAAATATTTTCAAATACACATATATATTTGTATACGCTTGTATATATATATATATACAATTATATGTATATAAACAGATATATTTACATATATATATATAAATATAATTTATATATATATACATATATCTATATATTGACATACACACAAACATAGATATAAATAGAGACATATATACATGCATACATACATAGATACATACATACATACATGCATGCATACATACATACATGCATGCATACATACATACATGCATACATACATGCATGTATACATACATACATACATTACATACATTACATACATTACATACATTACATACATTACATACATTACATACATTACATACATTACATACATTCATACATTACATACATTACATACATACATACAGACAGGCATACATACAAACAAACAAACATACATTCATACATACATACATACATTACATACACCAGATACATTACACACATCACATACATTACACACATTACATACATTACATTACATTACATTACATTACATTACATTACATTACATTACATTACATTACATTACATTACATTACATTACATTACATTACATTACATTACATTACAATACATACATTACATTACATTACAATACATACATTACATTACATTACATTGCATTACATTACATTACATTCAATTACATTACATTACATTACATTACATAACATTACATTACATTACATTACATACATACATACACACACACAGACAGACAAACATACATACACACATCCATGCATACATGCATGCATGCATGCATGCATGCATGCATTACATTACGTTACATTAAATTACATTACATTACATTACATACGTACATACATTACATGCTTACATATAAATATAAATATATATATATATACATATGTATATATATACATATACATATAGATATATATATATATATATAACCACACCCCCACCCATCCACAGGGGAACATAGCTCCTGTATATCCATACGCGTTCCTACTACAAATTACAACTAACTACTACAAATTACAACTAACTACTACTAATTACAACTAACTATTACAAATTACAACTAACTACTACTAATTACAACAAACTATTACTACTACTACTACTACTACTACTACGACTACGAGGACGACGACGACTACTACTACTACGACGACGACTACGACTATACGACTACGACTACGACTACGACTACTACTACTACTACTACGACTACGACTACGACTACGACTACTACGACTACGACTACGATTACGACTACTACGACTACGACTACGACTACTACGACTACGACTATTACGACTACGATTACGACTACTACTACGACTACGACTACTACTTCTTACTACTTCTTACTACTTCTTACTACTTCTTACTACTTCTTACTACTTCTTACTACTACTACTACTACTGCTACTACTGCTACTACTGCTACTACTGCTACTACTGCTACTACTGCTGCTACTGCTACTGCTACTACTACTACTACTACGACGACGACGACGACGACCACCACCACCACCACCACCACCACGACGACCACACCACGACCGACGACCACCACCACGACCAGACGACCACCACGACCACCACCACGACCACCACCACGACCACCACCACACCACCACCCCACCACGACCACCACACCACCAGCACCCACCACCACCACCACCACACCACCACCACCACCACCCCACCCACCCACAGGGGGGGGCGAGGAACATAGCTCCTGTATACCCATAGCCCTATACCTATATACCCATACCCTTTGGGGGGAGGGGGGGACTTGGGAGGCTGCATCATATATGTGACAGTGCGAGTCAATCCGCAAGTCCCGGGACCTAAGGAAAATCGGAACAAAAAGGCAGGCCTGGTGGTGTGCCAATCAAAAAGGTTTGGCGGAAAAACTGGCTGCAGATTGTGCCACCCCCAAAAGTTTCCGGTCGGCCAACGAAGCTGATTGAAAGAGGAAACAAGGGTGACAGTGGTACAAATACGCTTAGGGAATGATGAATCTCAAAGCTTTTCAGTCTATTGCTGCGGATTTTCTTCGACGATCTGGTCTTCGAGGGGAGCTTCTTCGGGCTCATCCGGGCTTGTCATTGGCCAAATATAGTATACCACTGTTCGCTTGATTTCACGAAAGTGTAGTAGTAGACATTGAGCGCGTCGATGTTGATCGCGCTGTCCCTTAGCGTTCCATTCCGTCAACTTTGTGGATGGCTTTGATGTCTTCAACGACTTCCAGATTGAAGAAGTCAAACCGGCGCTTAGGCGAAATCGAAAAGCCGTCTGATCCAGATGATCTCAGAGGCACGACTAGATGCCGGTGACCCATTGATCCGTCGATAGGCCACAACCACAGACCGAGGGTATTCTTCATCCGTGCGCATCGCTGAGTGGCAAGGGCCCATGCTCTATTGCTGGGAAAACGTCTCCTCAAATCCTTGATCTTGAAGTGGAGTTCGAAGGTTGGGATGATTTAATCAAAGTAAACGAGCCATCACCATCTACTCTACCTGGAATGGGTCTGGAGTCACCCTCCTCTTATTTCATCAACCACCCTGTGGAAAACGGGTATATATTAGTGGGACCTAATACAAACCAATTGGGAACGCAGTTGGATGTGCTCTCTTGTTTGAGCCGCCCATCCCAAAACGAATACCTAAACCCCAACGGCCCCAACACAAATGATGTTGTTATAAAACCCATTTTGAACCCATTGGGTAACAATCCGCTGGGTGATGCTTTCAACCCATCCCAAAATTCTCTGCAAGCCAATTCAAGACCCAAAATTCATCCGAATCAAAGGCACACGCAGAATCATAGATTTTTGAGTAAGTGTAGCCTCTGGTAAACTAACATAACTATGGAAAATGGCCATTTATAGTGGATTCACCCATTAAAAATTGTGATCTTCCATAGCTATGTTAAATTACCAGAGGGTAGCTGCAAACGTTTGCAGATTAGATTGGGATGCTACACACCCAATGCTTGCTTTTTCCGGGAAATCATAGCTGATGTACTCACAAAAATCCGTGTGTGTGTGTAAGCCCACTATGAAACAGGCATCCAAATCATGATTTGTCCATCTGGTTGGTGGTTTTAACCATCTGGAAAAATATTAGTCAATGGGAAGGATTATCCCATATATTCTGGAAAATAAAAGATGTTTGAAACCACCAGCCAGCCATTTGCTGAAAATCCCCAACATATGAGGCTTTCTGAAATCATGGTGGATTCCCAGTCCTCACCGGGCCAGGGCTTGGATATCTTGGATCAGACCTCCATGACGCCGGTCCAAGCTCCATATAGATATGGGGATGTGTCAAAACCATCCTTATCTGGTTGGTGGTTTCAACCTACCCCTCTGAAAAATATGAGTCAGTTGGGATGATGACATTCCATTCCCAACTGAATGGAAAGTCACAATCCAGTCATGTTCCAAATCACCAACCAGTTATATATGACTGGGGGAATAACCATCCATAAACCAGCCATTTATTGGGCTAGCAATGAACTCCCCAGGACGTGAACACCACTCCCTTTGATCAGATCAAGGTCACCCAGTCCGGCACGGCATTGGCACCGCCACCGTCTCCTTTTTTAAATCGCCCGAGTTCGGTGACATCCCGCATGGTACGGCCAGGGGTGCTGGCCAGGGGTTAGTTTCAAGGAGGGTGTAATTATCGGAAAAAATGGTTATGAATATGTAATGAATGTTATTAGCAAATGTTAATGGTTATGCAGTTCGACTAATTCTTGTGGGTGATATTTCACCATAGTGATACTGGTAGGGATATGTAAGGATGAAAAATCCATACTTAAGGAGGTTGGAATCCCGTAGTTACACCGCTACACCCATGAAAGTCACTCCAACTGCACCCTGATAAGGTGGGGGCGGGGTCCCTGTGGGGCATCTTGGGGTAGAACACACCCATTCATTGATAATTTACATAATATGAGAAATTACACCACTATTGTTTCATAACCTTTAACCCATGTTGGGGGTAACCCTGAAAACCCAAAACGATCACAACATCATGAATTATCACGTCATTGTCAAGGTAGTGATTATATATTTTTTGTTACACCCTATTATACCCTATGACGAAATCCCTAGTAACCACCGCTTCCACATATGAGAAATACTTTCAACACTCCTTAAACAACTACTATCAACATAAACCCTGTTGTCAAGGTGGTTTGTGTCACCCAACCATATCATACGAAACCGCAAACCCTCTTGATTCTTTCTCGCTTATGTTCGTTGCCATTCATCCACCCCATTAGGAACATTCAATAGACCGCAGTTGGACTTTACATTGTGGTGGTTTATAATTCCACAACGCTTACAAATCCCCCAAAAAAACTCCACAAGATTGGTATCCCCACAAGTTGTTGGTTGCCGATCCAAACAATCTCAATATCTCATATGGTTGGTTGCCGACTCGTCGGCGCCACCGCTGTTGCAACGAACTGGTCGCTTCGCACAATGCGCTCCATCCTGCTGGTGATAACTGCAACCTTCAGGCGATCCCGGAACTTCCTCTCGCACCATCCACAGAGCAAGTGCTTTGAAAGGATTGTCGATGCACAACCGTGTGTCTATCAGCTGCTGGTGAGAGATGAGGATTGAACCCTCGGCGAGCTGAGTACGTGCCAGATGGAATTTTTTGGACAAGGTGATGCCCCAGTATGTTATGTTTGTTGGTTTATCACCCCTGCAGTATAGATACCCTGTGCTAAACTAACAGTTTGCTATTGAAAATGGCCATAGAAATAGTTGATTTACCTATTAAAAATGGTGATTTTCCATAGTTTTTTGCATGTTTACCAGAGGGTATATCTACCATAAATCCAAACTATTGGAGTTATAAATCAAGCCAGCTAACTATGAGGCCACCTTTTTGGAATCAGCCCCCCAAAATTTCCGACCGACTTGGGCCGATCCGTGTACCGAGTTCGGCCATTTTGGATTGCATATATCGCAATTTGTTGGGCCCCTGTAAATAGAAATAGTTGGTTGTGTATCCCCATTCTATCCATCTATGTTCTATGGTTTATGTATATATATATATACCCCATTATATCCCACCATATCCCCATCACCATCAACAAACAAATATACCCTTGCATGTATAAACAAATCATTCACCGTTTTAGTATTCACATATTGTTTCTATGTATATATGCATATCTCAATCAATGATGAAAAGACAGCAGAATATTCCATGCAATGTCCCCATTCAATCATTATATATCAGATCCAAAAAAAAAACAACTCATTTCTTGAGCTTCCATCAGCCACATCAATCAATAGTGTCCTAAACGAGGAAAACGAGGAACACCGCTTTGGTATAAAGGGTTATCCTGCTGTGTTCATCTGCCTACCGTGGAAGCTTCTGTTTTCATCAACCAAGCAGTTGGACATCCGACATCTAAAAAATATATATATATAGTTTATTGACATATGTACTGTATCATATGGCATCATGTGGCTTATATTAATATATCCCATTATCCCACCCATAGCCTCATAATAACCCTGTCTATATATATACACACTATTTTCACAATTACATATATCCAATATGTTTCAGTATCTCCTATATATATACTGATTTATTTTACAATTGCAGGTAGGAACCAATACGTTCACCGTTTCAATACTATCTGGTTTATGCATATGTCTATATATATATATAGATCTGGGTAAACTATAATATATTTCACTAACCTGAATTAAGGCTAGTTGGGGATGATTCCCCGTACTAACCATGATTCCAGTGAGGTCGCAGTGAGGTAGATATAATTTACCCAGATAGATGTATGTCCCAATCAATGGTGATGATACCCCATAACATCCCATGGTATGCCCATGACATGTCAATTAATCGCCCATGACATTCCCTACTAATCCCTATTCACCAATCTGGGCCACTAACCACTATTTGGGTAAAATTGACATACTACCACCATTATTCCCATATATTCTAGCCCCAATCTGGGTAAATCATCATATTTCACTAACCTGAACTTGCGGCCATTTGGGGATAGTTACCCCCAAAACTAACCACATTAACCCGTGAGGTCGCGACGTACCGGTCGCTAAAATTTACCCAGACCAACGCATCAACCAATGCATATTACCACAGTAATGGATATGAATATCCCACTATTCCCAGAATATCCCATCGAATCACATAGACCAACTAATCCATTCATATTATGGATTTTCATTGATATGTCACATAAATATTGACAGATTAATGGATATTAAATGATATTAATATCCACCATTAATATCCTTGATATCTGCTTGATACATCAAATAAATATGACCATTAATGGATTAATACCCTCTGGTAAACCAACATAACCATGGAAACTCACAATTTTGAATGGGTAAATCAACTATTTCTATGGCAATGTTCAATACCAAGCAGTTAGTTTACCAGAGGATATATATAAGATTATAATATTCATTGACATGTCAAATAAACATGATCATTCAAGGATTACTATCCTAAAATATCCTATCATTCCCATAAGAACATCCCAGACATATCCTACTGTTCCTAGAAATATCCCATTCATATCCCATGAATGAGATCTTATTCCCAATATCTATCCCATAGTAGGATATTATATATATATATATGTATAGATATCCAACTATTTCCCAACCCTATTTCCAGACATATCCTACTATATATATATATATGGATTACTATCGCACAAGAACATCCCATAATTTCGCATTCATAAGATTCTATAGTATCCTAATATTCCCAGAAATAAATGACTATAACATCCTATAATCTTCTACCTTCTACTATCCTACTAGAATTTCCTACTTTCCCTATAATAACATCCTATAATATCCCATAACTATCCATGTTTTTTCCTATATCCGTAGAAGGAACACACAAAATCCAATTGATTCATTATATCCGAAAAAAAAAATCCCATAAAAACATCCCATTTGCTATCCTACTATTCACCATTGCATCCACCCTTCAAAAAACCGTCCTCGATCGTCCCATTTGCTCTTGCGCAGTGGCTTCACCTTAGGCGCCGCTGTGGTGCCCGGCGCCGCCTCCGTTTGATCCACGACGGGGACGCGGCGGCGCCGCGGCAAGGCCTCCCTGGGGCGCGGCAGGGTCTGTTTATACCATTTTATAATACCTACATTTATGATGGGTTTTGATATATTACAAATGTGGGCGCAAAGATTATGATTCAAGATCAATTCGGAATATATGAATATATATATATATATGATATTTGGTAGATTAGGGACTAATGGTGTCAAGAATTGCTATCTTTTTGGGGGTTGCTATGAAACATTGAAACCACCAACCAAATGAGTCTGGATAGTCCCTGACCCGTCATGTGAAACACACCCCAGCAACAATGGTGCATGGGAGTCATAGGTCGTTCATCAAAGCTGGGAAATTAAGGTTGAACAACTTGAATTTCATCTTCAAAAATTGGGATCACCCACCAACATTGGGATTTCACCATGAGCATCTGTAGGCTACGGGGAAGATTGGGGAAGAACAGATTTGGGATTCAACCATCATGGTGAGCCTAAAAAAACGTTGGCACTTACCCAGCTGCGGGGAATATGGTAGATAAAATTAGATAAATGGATTCTCAACATCAAGTTTTTGTTCACAAAAACTTGGGCGATTTTGGCAGAATTTGGTCCTTAAGACGTCACTTCTTAACATGAACATGTGGAATGACTGTGGGGAGCTGATGTGCCATTTGATCACCAAAGATGTTCCACTAAAAACCCATTGATGTCCCATTGAAACCACGTTCAGGTCACATTAAAACCCCAGTGATGTCCCCTCAACTCCCAATTGATCCCGCTAACTGCCCTTTGCTTATTGAACGTATCTATGGAAAATCATCATGAATCATCTACAAATGATCCATTTTCCGCTATATTAAATAGCCAAAGGATACGCGATATTGGCTGCGCCATTTTCTACACGTCATTCGATACGTGATGTCGCATCAAGGTCATGAGAGCTCCATAATCCAGATGAATTACCCTCTGGTTATGTCAAAATAGCTATTGAAAATAGCCATAGAAATAGTTGATTTTCCCATTAATAGCATGGTGGATCTTTCCAGTTCGCTATGTTAATTTGCCAGAGGGTAATCATCATAATCCATGGTTTGTTTTTTACTCATTACCATTCCCATGATAATCCCATGGATATTCCCATAACATGTCATCAAATCAACATGAACAATCACCACTGCTTGGTGGTTGAGCCCTACCCCTCTGAAAAATGATGGACTTCGTCAGTTGGGATGATGACATTCCCAATATATGGAAAAATAAAAATCATGTTCCAAACCACCAACCAGATATATTATTGGTGACATCTCTATGATATAGCATCATTAATCATCATTAAGCATCATTAACCATCATTAATCATCATTAACAATCATTAACCATCATTGACCATCATTAACCATATATCCCATGAAATTCCCATGATTTCAGCATATTCCATTCTTCAACGACCACGCATAACGACCACGCATCCGACGCCTCACCGGAGGCGTTTTTTCAAAGTCCGGCCTCCGCGACCTCGACCTGCAGAGGTGTTTTGAGTTATGTAAACTCTCTCTCTCTCTGTATATATATATATATGTATATCTATATCTAATCTAATCTAATCTAATATAATATAATACGCGTATGTATATATATACATCTATATATATACACCTATATATATATTATATATATATATATTAGAGTTACAGTATATGATGTTTACATAATGTTATTATATGCTGTTATATTATATCAACATATATAACAATGTTTTATCGTATGTCAGTTGTGCCATGAAGGTCCCCACCTCCGAGCTTCACTGGAACGACCATGCTGCGAGCTTCGCTCGCGTCGCTCGGTAGGTGGGCTGTAAACCTTCGAAAACCGGGCGAAGATGCTGGAATCGAGGCACCAAAATGCTGGGTTAGGCCATTTTACACCTTGGAAAAACCAAGGTTACAACATGTTACAACCAGAAGCTATTCCAGATTCCAAAGCACTGAGACATCCCCTTGATTCGAATGGTTTGGGGATGTGAAGAAGGGCCCTCCTGCGAATTACATCAAAGCATTGGTGAGGCCACCACACATTTTGAGATGAGAAATTTATCCTCTAGCGGCAAAAAGGACCTGGGTTTACTATTTTTTTTTAGTGGCTCTTCCTATTTTGTTGATCCTTTTTAGGGTGAACTCAGCAACAAGTAAACGATGAATTACTTAACCAATACCCAGCTGTTCAGATCAACGGATGCTCTCACTTATGGATGTTCCGTTATGATCCCATTAGTAGCCCCAAAATGTACTGTGTTTCATGGCCAATCTTGTGCTACCTTCCAAAAACAAACAATCAGCTGATTTGTTGTTTGGTCAATGGGAATTTCAGGATCCTAAAATGGAGGTACTGTACCATATAAAACCATATTTTGTTGGGATATTCCCTTACATAGGCCTTATATAGGCCTTATATATGGTAGGTACCTCCAATTTAGGATCCTGAAATTCCCATTGATTTGGGGAACAAATCATGAAAGTCAAGTATTCAGCTGCCCTTCACCAAGGTCCAGTTCTAAGTTCCCCCACCCTGCCGCGCTGCTCGTAGCGCTCACCGCGCTCGCCGTAGCGGTCACTGCTCCGCACGTCCCGCACGTCCCGCACGTCCCGTGCGTCCCGCGGCCGCGCGTCGCGGCTCCTGGCTTTGCCGTTGAAGTCTTGTGGATGATGATCCAATTACCCATCATTAACCATCATTAACCATCATTAACAATCACTAACCATCATATCCCCATGATATTCCCATAATTATCCAATAATAATCATAATTATCCAATAATTATCCAATAATCATCATTATTATGGATCACAACTAATAATTGGTCATTTCCAATAATGATCCAATAATTATCTATGACGGATCCATGGTGCTGGCATATAATATGCTCACATTGGGGGTATATTGATGGGATCCATGTTACCATATATAGCAGCACCATGGATCCTATGGGTTATGACAATAATAATTATTTCGTTGAGAATTAAATTGCGAAGCCCAAATTCTGGTTGGATATGGTTGGCCTAATTTGACTTTTGCAAATCTTAGGTATCCTGTTGCAAAATGCCTCGCAAACAAAGCCTGGTGCAGAGTAGGTCTCGTTATCAAGGTTGTGTTGTAGCTAGTTGGGTGAAGACGAGTTGGTAGTAGTTGGTAACTCCACTAACTAGGGTTCATGGTAGATATATCTATAGTTACTATGGTTTATAAACCAACTTGTTACTGGGGGAAGTTAAGGTCAGATGGTAAGCTCAACTGCAAGGTCAGGCCCTCAAACGATAGCTAGCTTGGTGTATCCCTGGAATGACCATGGTTTGTGGCGCAAAGATCAAACCCCAAACAATCCGCTCGTTGGAACCAGGTGGCAACGCGCAACGACATTTTACCTCATGTTCTTTGCTCAAATCGCCCAAGCTCTCTGGCGCTCCTTTCGCGAGAGTCACCCCGCCGTCCCCAGCCGCCCATGGCATAGCGGCAAGGGCTCCGTCAGATGGGTGTGGACATCTCAAAGAAAACCGAGCAGCCCCGGAACAGGCCCAAGTCATTTTCGGCTGAATATGACTGAATAAACAAGAATCTGAATGGAACTTGAGGAGTAATGAGCACTTATTTATGATGACATGGTTGTCGTTGGATTTCAATAGAAAATGCTCCATTTGTAGTTGATCTTCCCATTAAACCTCCATTTAGGGGATTTCCAGTCGTTTCCAGTTGCCATATTTGATTGCCTGAGGTTATTGGTCATTTTCAGTTGGGTGTGTTGGTCTCTAGTTTGGACTTAGGAAGCCTTGGAAGTTTGGGCTATGCACAATTTGGCTCCATATTTAGGCTGAGGCTTGCGATGCAGCACAAAGAGGTCAGAAATCAGGAGAATTTTGTTGCATATACATTCATATTCCTACCATTTAGTACCCTCATATGACTCATATTCGTATTTGTCCCTGAAACATGTAAATCCGAGCATTACAAGCGCTCATTTCTTGCGATAAGCTGGGGGCAATACGCAAAAAACGAAATCCCAATGTTTGACGTTTGAATCCATTATCTCTCGAAGTGAATTTTCACTGGAACACCATCTGCAACGGAAGACCATGTGATGGCTCCCCAAAACTAGTAAATCTGGGGTAAATCTGGGTAACACAGGATTGATTGTAGGATGAGTGATGAGTTTTCCGACTGATGAATATGATTGATCAAAAGAAAATAATCAGCTCAATCATTCATGGATCTGAGGGAAAAATTAGAGGACACGCATAGGCATAGTTTCTTATCAAAGAGGCGGAGTTTTCATCTCAAGTCTCTCATAAACCAAGTATCAAATGATAGCACTGTAACACTCTGAACAAGATATGATAGACACAAAACCAGGACATTTGTAACTTTGTAGACGAAAGCCTTTGTTTTCATCTTCCAAACCAACCTTGTAATTGTCCGGAGATTTAGTGATTATTCCATCTTTGGAATTTTCTGGAGATCTGGTGATTAATAATGAATATATATATATATACACATGTATATAACTATATATATATAACAGCCTCTGGTAATTTAACACTTCGCCATGGAAAATCCACCCATTTTTAAGAACGGTAAACCATGGAAATGCCATGAAAATGTTGAAGCCAATGGCGTAGATTTCTGGCTGGATTTCTGGCCGGAAACGGTCATGGGTTTCCCCACCAAATCATTCACCAAAGTAAAAATCCAGTAATATTCATGCCTTAAACACCCAATAATCCCACAGAATCCCATATCATCCCCACTATTTTTTCAGTTGAGTGCCAGTTTGTCTTGCGATTTTTCTTCATTTTTTGGCTCTTTGGTCGTTTGCAGGTCAGATGGTCAGCAATTTGAGAGGGCAAGTTCCGTTCACTGAAGGGGATGAAACCCGGTATGGCTATGGGTCAAATTTGATGTGTGTATATATCATATAATAGTATAAATATATGTAATTAATATAGAGGCCCCCAGTTATGTTTGTTGGTTTATTATATAGACACCATTATGACACCATTAAGTATTGCTTACATAACCATCTATAAAGCCTAGTCAACCATCTTGTAAGTCAACTATACCCTATTGGGTACAGTAAACGTTTACAACATATTACAAAATGATGCTGCTCGAACCCACAGGGAAGCCCGTCATGAATATTAATGGTGACTTTTCCACATCTGCGAAGGAACTTTCCCCTTAAAACATGCCAACTCAGGATCAGCTACCGAACGACATTCCAGCAGAGGTACATCTTTTAACGATGTGACCCCCTCAATTTGATCTTGGGTCCGAAAATAGCACCAGCTTTGACCCCACATGAAACGTAGAAAGACATTGATCATGTGGAAATACACTAAAGTAGCTACACGTTTTCTTGAACAAACCAGCATGTAGTCATGTAAACACTTTATAGGTTGAAGAAACCCAAGACTAGACATCACTGATCTTTCCATGATGTTGACGATGACACAGCATATCTCTTAATTTCCAGGCTTCCAACTTTCCGAATCTATCATGGAGGGTTGCTGTATGCATTTTTCATGTTTCTGCGAAAGGTGATGTACCTTTCGCCCTTTTTTGGTGCACGCGTCACATTGGATTTTTGGCAGCTTTGAATGAAAGCTGCACGAGTACTCCTTTGTGGGTGGGCATATCAAGGATTTCCACAGTTTCAAAGAAGATGTTGTTTCAGACACTTTAGGACCAGCTTGCACATTTATTTTAGGGCGGACGCTCTGTTTAAGCATCGCCCCATCTGATTCGAATCTATACTGGGCTTTTCCCATTGCCATCACGGCAGCCTGTGCGGCAGGCAGGAGGGGTTGGAAACCTCTAACCACAGATGGCAACAGAAAACCAACAAATCCATTGACACTGTATACATCTGTATACCCAATGAGTTAGAATGATATGTTCCAAATTCTGTTTTGGATGGTTTCCACCACAGCAACTTCCAGTTAGCACCAAATGTGAGGTTAGAACTACGAAGTGCTACTCACAACTGGGCTTTGCTGAGACTTACAAGTGACCAGAGTCATAGTCAAATCTTAAAAACCCTCTGGTAATTTAACAGTTTGCTATTGAACATTGCCATTTAGTTCGTTGATTTACCTATAAAACATCAGGATTTCCATAGCTATGTTAGTTTACCAGAGGATATTAATCCATTAATGGTCATATTTATTGATATATCAAGGGGATATCAAGGATATTAATGCTGGATATTGATATCCATGAATCTGGAAATATCTGGAAATATTTATGTGACATATACCCTGCATTTTTTCTTCCAAGCTTGACCCTGAAGGGCCCCAAGGGCCCCAACGAAGCTAACGCTTCGCAGTCTTCGCAGTCCAGCCGCTGGAGCGTAGCCTCGTGGAGAGGGCGAGACATGAAAAAGATGGGGTTGTCTCAAAAAATGAGTCTTCCTAATAGATGGTAAACATAAATAGTAAACCAAATAGATGTTACCAACCAGTTTGCCAATCTAATTTCTGAATAGATAGTAACATTGGTAAATATTAGATGGGATATATCTTCCTAATAGGTAGTAAACCAATCACATATAAATAAAAAACCAATGGCAAACCATTTTAGATGGACAATCATAGGTAGACAATTTACTATTTGTATATAGATGGTAAATCAATCATATAAATTATATTAAATGAATTGATATCAATAGGAGTATTTACTGTAGGATTGTTAGTATCTACATGTATATTATTGGCTTCGATTTATAGATGAATATAAATGGTAGGATTATGAATAGGAGTATTTATTATTCACTATAGGATGGTAAAACCAATAATTAATCATCCTTGATATTACCATCGCTGAGTGGTACATGGTGGTACACATCATCCGGAAATGGTAGGCTTATTCTTGCGTTTACCATATTATATAGTCTGCCCCAATTTTATCCAAAATTGCAGCTTAATTGGGAACCATCATGATACACCAGTGGATATTTCAGGGGTACCTGATTTTCAAAATCATATATGGAGGTTTCCTAAGTCATGGGGGTACCCATTTTTCATCCACAATGAAACGATATTTTCATATTGAAACCGGTGACGACTGGGGACCCACTATTTAAAGAACCCCCTCCGGACAGCTGTTACTGACTGTCATCTGTCAGCCAATAGATGGACCTTCCCTAATTTTGCTTGGTGAAACCCACATAAATTGGTGAAACCAACATGCTGAGTTTCGGGTTTTGATCCAGTCGATTGATTTCCCGCCGGCGGTCTATTCATTTAGTTCTTGCGAGAAATCGTCGTTGTCTTCGTCGGCGTCGTCGTATAGTCAAATTGCTGGGCCCCGGACGCACAAGGCTCTGGGGTCAAAGCTGAAGCTGCTTTCGCTCGACGGATGGAGACATGGGTACGACGAGCTTTCGTACGGCTGCCTGGCGGCTTCGGTTTTATTGGGACTGCCTCCGCGCTGCCAATGTCCCGGCCTCCACGCCGACATGGTACGGCCCCCCCGACATTGTTGGGGGGTGGGACCCGTCTATGGCACTTTGCTCAAGAACAGCTTAGGGCTGAATGTTCAATGGCATGTGCAGCCTGTGCTGGCGTGCTGCAAAGTCAAACTTTTCAACACTGCAGCTCGGTAGGCTAGCTGTGTGCAGGCTAGTTCCTGCTTTGGAGGCGTACATACACTATAGTTATAGAAGGTTGCCAGGTTATAACCGGATACCAAATCGTCTGACAGGCCATCATTAAGATATGAGTTCGTCAGTTGGGGATTATTCTTCCCAATATATGGAAAAATAAGATTCATGTTCCAAACCACCAACCAGTTATTTATATATCATTTCCACATGTTTTCAGGTGTTTTTTAAAATGTCAACCCCGGATTAATCAACCCCTAGGCTGTTCAATTGGGGGGGATACCATTTATGTATCATATTGTGACTATTTGGAGGGTACCCCCACAATTAATAAACCATGGTTTATTAATCCGGAGTTGACATCGTTTATTAATTTATCAGATATATCATTGGTGACATCCCTATGATATAGCATCATTAACCATCATTAACCATCCTTAACCATCATTAACAATCACTATATAACCATTATATCCCCATGATATTCCCTAATTATTTCAGCATATTCATCATTAACAATCACTAACCATTATATCCCCATGATATTCCCTAATTATTTCAGCATATTCATCATTAACAATCACTAACCATTATATCCCCATGATATTCCCTAATTATTTCAGCATATTCCCATGAGGATCTCATCATTAACCATCATTAACAATCACTAACCATTATATCCCCATGATATTCCCTAATTATTTCAGCATATTCCCATGAGGATCTCATCATTAACCATCATTAACAATCACTCACCATTATATCCCCATGATATTCCCTAATTATTTCAGCATATTCCCATGAGGATCTCATCATTAACCATCATTAACAATCACTAACCATTTTATCCCCATGATATTCCCTAATTATTTCAGCATATTCCCATGAGGATCTCATCATTAACCATCATTAA